CGAGCCGAGGGGCGTCGGGGGCTGCGATCTGCAGTTGGGGTGCCAGAGAGGACAGTGAGACTCGGCGAAGCGTTGCCCACCCGGGTGCTGGGGCCGCCTTGGCCGCGCCTCCTCGGGGGACTCGGCCGAGGAGCCTGCAGGAGGGCTCAGTGGAGCAGGTCGGCGGGTCCGGGCTGGGGGGCGTGTGTGTGGGGGTGCGCGAGAGGTGGGGTTCGTGCAGGGTTGACAGCGTGTGATGTGTGTCTGTACAGAGTGTGAATGTGTGTAGGGGGTGTGTGTGCCTCTGTACATGCTGCATGTGTCTGCTGTGAGGCGTGTGTGTGTGTGTGTGTGTGTGTGTGTGTGTGTGTGTGTGAGAGAGAGAGAGAGAGACAGACAGAGAGAGAGAGGACGCTGGGAGCCACAAGCTTGGATCTGAACCCATGTAGGAGGGAGAACAGAATATGTGTGTGTTGCGTGTGCGTGTGTACGTGCATGTGTGTGTGGTCATGTTTGTGTGCAGGGGGTTGTGAAGGGTGAGTGGGTGAGCATGTCATGGGTGCTAGGTGTGGCCTTGTGTGTGATGTAAGTGTGCCGGGTGCACGTGTGTCCCTGGCTCAACCCTCCCCTTCCCCCCACCAGATGTTAGTGCTGTGGGGAATGCTGGGGGTTGTTGGGACTCTACCCCACAGCCCCTGCTGTGCCTGCCTGCCTGGCCTTCCTCACCAGGAAGCCTGAGACCTCCCAGCCACCCCTCCCCAAATACTCCTAGGGTCCGAGGAAGGGAGCCCTGCTTGCCTGGGGCACTTGGCTTCTCTGGTCAGAGCCTGGGCTGCCCTCCCAGCTCTGCAGTCCTTCAGCCCTCTCTTCTGTCCCTCCTAGGACCTGTGCCCAGAGCCATCCCCAGGCCAGGTCTCACAGTGGAGTGGGGTGGGAATGGGGGGTGGGAACAGGTTGAACCCCATCAGGGAGGATTTGCTTGTTCACAGTTGTAGTTTACATGGGGTGCAGGGCATACTAAGTCATTGCTGTCGAATCCATCCCGACTCATAGTGACCCCTCCTTGGGTTTCCAAAGCAGTATCTCTACAGAAGTAGATTGCCCAACCTTCCTTCCGAGGAGTGGCTGGTGGGTAAAGGTTTGAAGGGAGTTCCAGTCCATCCTGTCCGCCATAAGTTGGGTGAAAAGGGGAGCTGAGTGCAGTCAGCCCCCAGCCCTCAGCTGGGCAAGGTTGGGGCAGGGGTTTACAGAGAGGGTACCTGAATGAGGAGCTGCTGGGAAGAGGTCTGTCTGTGCTGGGGCCTGAATATAGACTCAGTGTGTCACCCTGTCCTTGGATGGAACTTTGCATCCTGCCCCCCTCCCCATGCCCCAAGGCTCTCTGGCATCGGAAGCCCTTCCCCAGGGCATTGCATCCTGAAAAGGGATGAGCGCAGCGGCCAGGGCTCATGAGGCCTCTCCTCTCTCCAGGACCCTCGCACTCAAAGGTGCTGAAGACCTGAGCCCCCTGCCCACCGAGGCCGGGATTAGCTCCTGCAGGAGGTGTGGGCCATGGCAGGCTGTGGCTGTCTGGGGCTGGGGCTCTTCTGCTGGGCCCTGCTGGCTGTCCCTGTGGGCCCCCAGCTTGCTTCTCCTGTCCCTCTCACCACCTTGGGCCCCCCACCTCAGAGTGAGGCCTCGATGCTGTCACTCAACTTGGGACTTAACTTCAAATTCCACCTTCGGGGACCTGCTGCTGCCTGGGGGAGCCCTGTCACAGAGACCCAGCGGCTGTCCCCGGGGCTGGGCCGGGAGCCAGAGGAAGAGGTGGCCAGTGGGCTGAGGACGGACCCTCTTTGGGAACTGCTGGTGGGCTCCCTCGGGAACTCTCCCCCTGAATGGGGTTCGGCTGAAGGCAGCTCTGTGCCCTGGGCTTCCTCCCTGCCGCTGGCATCCACGTCCCCCCTCTCTGGGCCCACAACTCAGCCCACGGCTCCCTATCAGCCTCGGATGGGCACTGTGACCTGGGGCACTGCCCTGACAGCCACGGGGCCTCCATTCAGTGCCCCCAGGCCTCACCAGAGCGAGCTGGAGCTGAAGTTGGGCGTGGCACTGAGAGCGGGTGCAGCCCCCACACTCGGCCACCGAACGCTGCCCCTGCTGCCCAGCCTGCGGGCCAGCCTGGCCGAGATTGCTGGGCGTCTGGGCCCCTTTGGTGAGTAGCAGCCCCTTCTGAGGGGAGCTTTGCTGCTTGGCCCTGGCAGCAGGCGACAGCTTCAGCAAGGCACCTTTTACAGGGTTCTTTGGCACTACTCTGACACCACTCCTGAACTTCTCAGGCCCGAGCCCCCGGGGCACAACTTTACCACCAAGCTCTGTCTCCGGAGTTTCAGAATCTCCAGGTGAGTGTTCATTTCAACACACGTCTGTGGGGCACTTCCACGTGCCGGGAGGGCAGTGGTGGGTTAGTGGTAGAGTCCCTTCACTTCAGTACAGGAGATCTGGGTTTGCTTCCTAGCCAGTGCACCTCCTGCACAGCCATCTGTCAGTTGCTATGATGCTGAATAGGTTTCAGCAGAGTCTCCAGATTCAGACAGACTAGGGAGAAAGGCCTGGTGGTCTACCTCTGAAGATTAGCCGGTAAAAACCCCACGGATCATGATGGTCTGTTCCTGCTGTACATGCAGTCTCCCAACTAGACAGCAACCAACAATAAGTACTACATGCCAGGCCCTGTGCTCAGATCCTAACCATCATCTTCCTTTCCTCCTTAACTCAGCAGAGGCCTGCATGGCTCTCCCAGGCTCTGGGACATGGGCCGCTGCTTCCATGGAGAAAGGTTCTTTCTGCCGTGTTCGCTCTAGTTTATTCCTTCCTGGCTTAGATCATGGTGTGCATGTGGCTACCATTCCTGGGACAGTGGCTTCCTTGGGACCAGCTTTTGGCAAGGACAGGATGTTCTCCAAAGCCCCAGAGGCCCAGCCTGGCTTGAAGGATGGCACTCAAGCCTCATGTGCTCCCTTTGCAGGGTTCTTTGGTACCACTCCGTCCCCATCCCCGTCCCCAAACCCCTTGGAGAGGAAGCTGTCAAGGCCACGTCTGCTGGACCCTGCTGCTTCCCTGAGCTCTGCTGTAATTGCAACAGAATCGCTAGGTAAGTGTTCACTTCATTTGCACTCAACAGTTACGTATTGAGCACATATTACTACATGCTAGCCCATGATTGGTGTTCTGGGACTCGTTGCCCCCATAACAATAATCACCATTATCTTCTTCCTCACCATGGAGATGTATATTCATAGTCTGAGAACAAGTGTGGTTGGGAGAGAGTTAAGTCATGGTCCTCTGGGAGTTTTGCAGTCACAGGCAGAACAGGATGCAGAAAATGAGTCTTGGCCAGAAGCAACAGCAGTAGCCTCACTGTCACTCCAGTTGGCCTGGCCTGCCTCTCCACTCCCTCCCCAACCTGGGCACTCTCTCCTTTGCCTCTGATCTGACATGACATGCTATCAGCTATGGGCATAGCTGGGCCCCTCACTGGGAAGATGTTGAAGAGGAGACCTTGAGCAGACAAGTGCCACCCTTGATCAAGGAAGTCTTCCAAAACATTCACATAGACAAGCCGGTGGAGCAGAAGAGGCTCTGGGCTCTGGAATCTTGCAAACCTGGCTTTGAATCTTAGTAGCTGAGTGGCCTTAGGTAGGTTATTTAACCTCTGTGAGCTCAAGTCTTTTCATCTCTAAAGTAACCCCAGTGCCATCAAGTTGATTCCAACTCATGGCAGCCCCATGTGTGTCAGAGCAGAACTGTGTTCCACGGAGTTTTCAACAGTTTGTTGTTTGGAAGCAGATCACCAGGCCTTTCTTCTGAGGTGCTTCTAGGCAAACTTGAACTGCCAACCTTTCTGTTAGCATCCAAGTGTGTTAACCCAGGGACTCCTTCTATACAATAGGGTTTAATCATAGTAGCTATTTTGGTGCTATTTGGTGTGGAAAGCTTCCAGATAACGTAAGCAAACTGCTGGCCTGATGCTGGACACAAATTAGAAACCTAGTGTTAACCTCGTTTTTTGTCTCGCTGCATCCAAATACACTTCCAGACCCCACCTGTCAGAATCCCAGCCCTGGGCCCCAGGATGCAGTGGGACATCTTGTCCACTCCAGAATGCAACCGTGGGGCAGAGGGCACAGCTGCTGTGAGAGAGCTTCTGACAGGTGAAGCCGAGGGAGCCATACCAAGGGACTCCAGGCCCCACTTTGCTTCTGCGAAAGGTTGACTGGTGGGAATCCCTTGGGCACCCCATACTTGGAGCTGGCTCAGAGAAGAAACCACTGGCATCCCAGCTTCAGACTTAATACCCAACACTTTCACTGCCAGAGCGTGGTCCGCGCAGTCCCTCTGCGTGTGGCCAAGGAGCCTGCAGTTCCTGTGTAGCCCCAGTGTGTGGCAGTGGTGGGTCTGCTGTGGGATGGAGGGCAGGCGCTGTGCCTCAGGGGAAGGATGCTGGAGGCCGTCTGTCAACCTGGGTGACAGCACTGGTCAGGCAGGTTTAATGAGTCTGGACACTGTCAGAGGCAGTCCAGCTCAACAGGCTGGCAGCCCTGCCCTTCCTCCCCTCTTCCCTGGCGGCTGCAGGACCCAGTCTCTTCCTGCCTGCTCCCCTTGGGTAAACCCAGGAAGGCTTTGCTCAGCCAGCAGTATGCATGTGGGGAGGCGGAGATGTGCCAAGCAGTTGGGGGTTTAAGGAAGTCTGTTGGCGTCTCCTCTAGATCGTTCTGCATAGGTGATGTTAACCTTTGGCCCCTGGGGTTTCTCCTGCATTAGGTCCCCTTCTCCAAGTGCCTGTGGCCAGAGCTTGGATTCAGCCAGTACACACTAGGATGGCATCCAGGTTGTTAACATGTTGAAAGATTCCCAGATCAGCTGATGAACATCCATTGCCCCTGGCACTCCCACACCCCCCCTGCACTTGACTACCACCCTGGCTGGCGTGTGTTTTGATTGGCTGATGTCTGTGACATTCCAGTTGTTAATTATTTTAAACGTTCCCCTGTATAAAGAGTATCAATCTCAATGACATGGAGGTGGGCGTATGGAAAGGATGGAGCCAAGCCACAAGTCAGGCAGCCATTTTCAGCATCCAGAGCAGATCTGGGATTCTCCAGCCCTGTGATCCAGGCAGCTAGTGCATCACAAGGCCTGGCGTTTTTCATGAAGTGAGCCTCCCTTCAACACCTCCTCCCTAGCCAGCTCCGGCCTCACTGATTAGATTACTCACACTGACATCCCATCTCCACTACCTTCACCCATGAGGTCAACAGAGGCTTCAGGGCCAGAGAGGGGGCACCTTGGAGGGAAGACCTGCTCAGGAGAGGGATCCTTCTGGGAAGATTTGAATGGGGAGACGGAAGACAGATCACGTGTCCATACCCACACCTGGCCCAATCCTGAGTACTTGGGGTCTTGCTCTAAGCCCTGGAAGTAGGGCTCCTTATTCAGAATGCCCTTCTCTGAGGCCTGGGCTGTGCCAGAGTTTTGTCTGGAGTCCCTGGGTGATGCGAATGGTTAAGCACTTGGCCACTAACTGAAAGGCTGGTGGTTTGGATCGACTCAGAGGTGCCTCACAAGGAAGACCTATGATCTGCTTCCAGGTCACACCCTTGGAAACTCTGTTGCTATTGTTGTTATATGCCTGTCGAGCCGGCCCAGCTCATAGCGACCCCTCCTTGGGTTTCCAAGGCAGTATCACTACGGAAGTAGATTGCCCAACCTTCCTTCAAAAGAGTGGCTGGTGGGTTTGAACCGCCAGCCTTCTGGTTAGCAGTCAAATGCCTTAGGCACTACACCACCAGAGCTCCTGTTGTTATTGTGTTGTTGTTAATGCCTGTCGAGCCGGCCCAGCTCATAGCGACCCCTCCTTGGGTTTCCAAGGCAGTATCACTACGGAAGTAGATTGCCCAACCTTCCTTCCAAAGAGTGGCTGGTGAGTTTGAACCGCCAGCCTTCTGGTTGGCAGTCAAGTGCCTTAGGCACTGTGCTACCCGAGCTCCAGGTCACACCCTTGGAAACTCTACAGGGTACATTTCTACTCTGCAACACATTTCTCTGCACTCTGGTTCTGTTTCATTTCCTGGCTTTCTGTGACTGTTGGAATTTGCTTTAGTTGCCACAGTGCTTTGGGACAGAGATGAGGGATGGGGTTCCCTATGGGCCACTGGTGAGAAGTGGAGCTGGAAGAGGACGAGATGGACCAGACCTCTGCCTCTGAGAACTACCCTTGTCTGTACCGTGAGATGAGGCGGGGGGGAAGGGGAGGTGACGATCGGCTAATGCCGATCGTGAGGCTCCTGGTCAGGGTCTCCTTGCCTCTCTGCAAAGCCCACATCCGCCCAGGAAAGGCCAAGCAAATTCTCCCACTTCACCACAGACATGGTTTGGAGATGGCAACTGAGACCCAGGAATGGGGGGTGAGGAAGATGTGTGTGTCTGATCCTGCTATTATCAGACCAGTGCCCACCCTTAGTCAGCAAGCTGTTTGTTCCCAACTGAGTGGTTCCCATGAACTGGTAGCTGGCATCTTCGTTAGTTGATTAGAGTTGGTTAGTCCATCATAATGATGTTCTTTTAAATGCAGCTCAAAAAGTGAGACAATGTGTTGGTGTTCACTCATTTGGCTAATTTTGTCTTTCTAAGCAAGTTTCAGAAATGCTGAGAGCTTTTAGGGGCATTGGTGGTTCAGCAGTACAATTCTTGCCTTCCTGGGTTTGATTACTTCCGGCCAGCGCACCTCATACACGGCCACAACCCATCCGTCATGGGAGGTTTGCATGCTGTTAGGATGCTGAACAGGTTTCATCAGAGCTTCCAGAGTAAGATGGGGTAGGAAGACAGGCCTGATAATCTACCTCTGATAACCAACCAATGGAAACTCTGTACATCACAACAGTTCAATCCACAACCCAAAATCAACCAATGGAAACCCTGCACATCACAATGGTTCTATCCACAACCCAAAATCAACCAATGAAAACCCTATAGCTCACAATGGTTTGGTCTGCAGCCCATCATGGGGATGGCACAGAACCTGGCAGCATTTTGTTCCATTGTGCATGGGGTTGCCATGAGGTGGGGTGACTAGACTGCAGCTAACAACAATGAAGGGGTTTTACCATAGACTTTAGTTAAATCAAGAACGAGTTTGAGGCCAGACATGCTCACACTCATGCAAACACAAACTGGTAATTGATTTGTCGGTGATGAACATCAGCCAATAATAACTATGCTAATAACAATCATATATTGATTATTTATCATGCACCAGACACTCTCCCCCACTTGACTGTCAGCTTGTTGACTGTGGTGGCTTGCGTGTTGCATGACGCTGGAAGCTATGCCACTGGTACTTCAAATACCAGCACGGTCACCCATGGTGGACAGATTTCAGTGGAGCTTCCAGACTGACAGACTAGGAAAAAGGATGTGACCACGTCCACTTCTGGAATAATAATAATAAATTAGCCACTGGAAACCTTATGAATAGCAATGGAACACTGACACAGTGGCTGCAATGATGGGCTCAGCCATGGCAATGATTCTGAGGATGACACAGGACCAGGCAGTGTTTCATTCTGTTGGACACCGGATTGCTATGAGTGGAAGCTGACTCAACAGCACCTAACAACAACAGGCCTCCAAAGAGCTTTTCTCATGTCCTCTCATTTATTCTCCTAACAGCCCTGGGCAGTAGGTCTCCTGCGCATTTCAGACTTGAAGAATGTGATGGAATTGGAACCGTTTTTGTGCAGTCGGCAGTGGGCTGTATTTAGTTTTTTGACACCATCCTCTCTGCCCTCCTCATGTGTCCAATTCCTTCATCCCCACCTCTTGCTCCAGTGCTCCTTGTTCTCAGGACTGCTCGCCTGGGCATGTCCCCAGCATGAGCTGGCCCTGCCTGGGGTGGGGGGTGTTCCTAGAGCCTTCCTGCGTCCAACTGAGGCATGGCCAGCAGGAGTGTGGTGGTCAGACCTTCCCTCCATCAATTCACATGTGCCTCTGGTCCACCTTGTCACCCCCGAGGCTGTCCCCATCCTTCTCCACCTCTATTTCTCCCTCCATTCTTGCCTGCAGTCTGCTGAGCCTGCTAGATGGGATAGGGAGAGATTCAGCCTCCAGCATCTTCCCTGGCTGCCTGGCCAGGGGGGAACTCTTGGGTCTAACTCTCTCTCTCTCCTCTTGTTCCAAGAGAGTAGAATCAGGGCTCTTATTCCTCACCCTGTCTTTGTTGACTCCCATTTCCCCAAGGGAAGATGTTGGAGCAAAAGGTGGGGCTGAAGGCCTCAGTTAGTACCTGAGGGGCTCACTCAGGTGGCGTTTTATCCCACTGTGAACTCCCCAATTGCTCCTTCCTGGGGAGCTCTGGTGGCATAACACCTTAGGCATTTGACGGCTAACAGAAGGCTGGCGATTCAAACCCACCAGCCACTCTTCAGAAGGAAGACTGGGCAATCTACTTCCGTAGTGATACAGCCTCAGAAACTGAAAGAAGGGTCACTATGAGTTGGGATTGACTTGATGGCATTGAGTTTGGTTTTTTGGGGTTCAAGGGCAGCCTCTTGCAGGGGCTGTATTCAGCCCAGGGAAGTTCATCTCAATGTCACCTTTTGTAAAAGGGCCTAAGAACCCAACCCAACCCCATCAAGTTGATTCAGACTCTTAGTGACCCCTATTGGGTTTCCAAGGTGGTAATCTTTATGGAAGCAGATTGCCCTGTCTTCTGTGGAGAGCCTGGTGGGTTTGAACTGCCAACTTTCTGGTTAGCAGTCAAATGCCTCAGGCACTGTGCCACCAGAGCTCCTTAAGAACCCCCTCCTCCCCCCAAAAAAAAAATCTCTGCCATTGAGTCAATTCCAATGCACAGCGACCCCCATTGGGTTTCCAAGGCGGTAAATCTTTATGGAAGTAGATTGCCCTGTCTTTCTTCTGAGAAGTGGCTGGTGGGTTTGAACTGCCAATCTTCCAGTTAGCAGTCAAATGCTTTAGACACTGCACCACAGAGAACCAAAGGAGAACCTATGTAAACAACCTTTGACAAATGTCCAGATGGAGTCCACAGCCATGGGTAAAGCAAACCCCTTGAGGTTGAGAGTGTAGCAGGCAGGAAGGCCAGTGAATGACAGTCTGTGCCTTCCAGGAGCTTGGGAGAGTGGCTTCCTCACCCCTTGCTAAGTGTGTGTGTGTGTGCGTGTGTGTGTGTATACAGGGGCTCTTCCTGGAAGAGACTGGGAGAAGAGGGAACAGTTGAAAAGGGCAGCAGAAGTGTGTCCTAGTGCAAGGGTTGGGAATGAGGGGTGAACAGAGCTATGCCAACTAGTGTGAAAAGGTTTTGGAATTGTGGGAAGGGATTCGGACTGGTGCTCAAGTCTGGATTCTAGTTGTGGCTCTACCAGTCTGTGACCCTGGACAAGTCATTTTGCCTACTGGAGCCCCAATATCTTCATGTGGCAAATAAGAAGATTCATTTATTCAATAAGTACCTGCTGAAGGCACCATTTTAGTCACAGATTCAGAAGTGAGATAAATAAACACAAACCCATGTTCTCATGAAGCTTTTCTTCTGGGAGGGGGATCGCAGTAGAAGGGGCGTCTACAGTTCCTTCCAGTTCTGGAATTCTTTGGCTTCTTCAGAAAAACCCTTTTTAGCAGAATCACAGTGATGAGGAGACACGAATCACACAGGGAGCTGAAGGGAGGCGGGTGGGTGCTCAACCTGCAGCAGGAGAGTTCTGGATGGTGAGTCCAGAGATGGGCTGCGTCAGATTAGAAAAAGGCTGCAGGAGCCAGAGGCTCCCCTTCCCTGGCTTACAGGCCGACTGGCAGGGGTGGGCATGGGGAGGGGTACACAATTGCCTCAGATTCTTCTTTGTCCACAGACCCCAAAGTCCTCACCTCTGGCCCAGATGACCCCTCTCCTGCCAGCCCAGGGAACCCTTCTATGCGGCCAGAATGTGGGCTGGAGTCCTGTGGCGTTGGCATCAGAGAACTGCCTGACCTGGGTGGGCAGCCCCCTGCGGCGCCGCTGCCCCTCTTCTTCCTGACCCTGGAGGCTGACTGGGCAGAAGCCAGGGCTCGCTGGGGGCTGGCCTGGGAGGCCCACGTGTACGGTGTGGGTGCGCTCTTCGGCCTGGTGGCCCTGCTGGCGTTGTTGGCTCTGGTTCTCTTGCCCTGGCGCTGCCCGCCAGGCGCACCCTGCCTGGCACTCCTCGACCTGCTCCTGCTCTCGGCGGGGACCACGCGGGCCTTCCCTCTCTTCTACGACGCCTACGGGCACCGCGCCCGGCTGCCGGCGCTCGCCTGGCTGCTCCTGCAGGACCTCCCGCTGCCCTGCCTGGCCGCGGGTCTGGGGCTGGCCTGCCTGCTCATGGCCCGGCCGCGCCCGCCGCGGTGCCCTGGCGGCCTGGCCGCGCTGCTGCTCATGGGGCTGGGACTGGCCGTCGCCGCCGCGCTGGGGAGCGCCGCGCACCGCCCGCTAAGGCCCCTGAGGCTCGCCGCCCGCGGCCTGCATGCCTTCCTGGCCGCCCTGCTCTCGGGGCTCCTGCTGGCGCTCTCCTGCTGGCGGGGCCGGCGGCGGCGGGCTGGGGCGCCCCTGGGAGGATCCGGCTTCAAGGGCGCCACTCCGCTCCGACAGGCGCGCAGCCCTTTCGCCCCTCGGGAGTCGTGGCGGCGCGCAGCGCGCACAGCGCCGGTGGCAGGCACCTTCGGACTGTTGAGCGGAGCCCTGCAGGGCTACGAGGTGCTGCACGCCCTGGGCTACGGCGGCCAGCCGGGTTTGGAGGGGCCGTGGCCCTGGTGGGCCTTCCAGCTGGGCTTGCGCCTCGGCGAGGTGGGCGTCGCGCTGCCCTTGGCGCTGCTGGGCCTGTACCCCGCGCTCTGCAACCCCCGCGTGCCTCCGCGCTGCTGGGCCAAGCTCTTCCGTCTGTCCCCGGGCCACGCGGCTCCGCTGCTGCCCGGGGGCTGGGGCACCGGGCTCCGGGAGAAGGAGCCCCCGGCCAGAACCGTAGCCCGAGGCGAGGCAGAGCTGCTGCAGCTGTGCGCTCTAGCGAGCCCGGGTCCCGACCTTCTCCTCCAGGGAGGCGGCTGCAAGGGCTTCGAGGGCGAGGCCGCGCTTCCGGCCTCTTCGCCCGCCTCCTCCCCCTGCAGCGATTGCACTGTGGACTTCCGGCCGCCCTCCCCGATCAACCTGCGGCGCAGCATCGAGGAGGCGCTCTGCAGCGAGACTCTGCTGGCTCCCAGCCTCTTCCAAGGCCCTGCCTTCGGGGAAGCCTTGCCTGGACTCGGCCTCTATCGCACCATCTCGCTGGGAACCAAGACAGGGACCGCGTCCAGTGAAAGGCCGGAGGAGGCCCCTGGGTCCCCCGCGTCCCCAGAGCCGCCCTCCCCCGGGGCCTGGCCCGCGGGCAGCAGTGCCTCTTCCGGCTCCCTGTATGGACTCTCGCGGGACAGCTCGTCCATGCTGCTCTGCTCCAGCCCGGACAGGCCCCCGCGCTGTCCGCTGGTCTGCGTCCTCAGCCCCTCGCGGCCCTTGGCAAGCAGCCCCAGTCTCCCGGCCTCAGGGTCTTACCATGCCCTCACCCCCCCGTCCCGCGACTCCCCGGAGCCTGCTCCTGGGCTGCGGGCTGAGGAGGCCTTACTGCAGGAGCAATTCCTGGACGCCTGCCGCCAGATTGACGAGCTGAGCGTGGGAAGCGACACGGTAGACCTGTGAAAGGGCGTCCCCCCCTGGCGCCGCCCAGCTCAAGACCTGCACACTGTAACCGCCCCCCTCCCCCCCAATCCCGCCTGGCTGAGATGCTGTCCTGGCTTCTTTCCCTATCCAGGGGCTCCTGGGTGGGAGGAGGGGTCAGCAGCCAAGCTCTGATGATTGGGGACTAGTGCCACCTTCTCTGGAGCCCTGGGCATGGATGCCCGCAGCTGCAATTCTGGACTGGCAAAGGGTCCTACTGCCCTTGGCACTCACCAGCAATAAAGGTCCAAGGTGCTCCACTCTTGATCACCACTCCCCACTCTGGTGCTGAGCAAGAGGGGCTGTCTTCAGAAGACCTCCTGACCTGCCTCGGTCCCCTTACCCACCTCCATTTGTGTGAGTGAGACTCCCTGTCCAAGTGGCCCCTCCCCACAGAGGGGCTCATGGCCCACCTAGGAGATGTTAGAACAGTTGAGTGGGAGGGGAGCGCTTTCAGAGTTAATTTATCAATAAAATATTTTCCGAAGACAAAGGTCTGACCTTCTTGGAAAGGCTTACATGAGGTAACAGAGCTGGAGGTGGAAGAGGAGCCACTGTCAGGTGGATGGGTCCACATCAGACCCCAGCAACCTTAACTCCTGACAGGTCAGAGGAGTCTTGTCCTGTGGCTGTGATTAGTGACGGTCCTGGGAGCAGCCCTTAAAGACTTTCTGGGAAGCGGCTGTTTATAAAGGTGGAACACAGCCCTTGAGAGGCTAGGCAGAGACTACAGTCCACAGTGGAAATGCCTGAATTCACGAGAGCCTGGCTGCAGTTCCTGGTGGGCAGCTGGCTGGGGACTAACCAGTTGTCGTGGAGTTGACTCTGACACGTGGCAACCCTATCCCCGTGTGTCAGAGTAGAACTGTGCTCCGTAGAGTTCACAATGGCTGTTTACAGAAGTAGGGCTCCAGGCCTTCTGAGGTGCCTGTGCATGGACTCGAACCTCCAGGCTTTCAGTCAGCAGCCACATGCTTTAACTATACTCCCACCTTCCTGGCCAGAGATGAGTTAGTTCTTAACAGAGATGCTGATCCACACAGAAAAGGGCCTGATGGCTTTGAGTGGGGATCCAAAGCACCCCCCTGCCAGCTTCCCGCAGTTTGGGATTCATAAAGGGAAAACTGCCTTCTTCTCCACCAACAGGGTCTCTTCAAGGTGGGGCTCCCCACCCCTGCCACCCCCACACACGTACACAGAGCATCATCTCCTGTGGGTTCAGGTCCTTCCTGGAGAAAGCCTGTTTTCCCCAGCTGCCTGCCCACCCCCCACCTGCCAGTTCCGAAAACAGAACTCAACCCAGAGACCCGTGAACAAATCAGCCACCGGGCACTCTATCACCCCTCCATTGCCCAGAGCATTTGGCTCTGAGCTCTGCGCGCGAGAGTTGAAAAGGAAAGCCCAACAGTGTTTTGGCAGGTGTCCTGCACATGACAGGGAGCCCTGCAGGGCTCACACACTAGGCCTGAAGTGCAAAGACACGAACTTGAGTGGGTTTTCTTTCAACTCTGATGCGTGGCAACTCCATCAGCTTGTCAGGCTCTAGGAGGGGGGCTGGGGAGCTGGGGGAGCAGTCTGGGAGGCCTGGAGGGGGTGGGACCTGTGCCAGACCCAGTCCTAGGCTGACACCGGTGGAAAAATGAAGACCCTGCTCTCCTGGAGGAAGAAGCTTTGCCTTGGCTGAGAGTGTGTGGTCAGGAGTGTCCTTGGCTGGAGGGGAATGGGAGGAGAGAGAGTCGGTCACATTTGGGAGAGAACAAGGGTGGAAATAGGGAAGAAAAACGAGAGGGGGTGGTGCAGGTGCTGGCGTGGCTCAGGGACGGGGCTGTGGCTTCCTCCGTCCCCTAGCTCAGCTTCCCTCAGAAATTCTTGCTGCGTCGTCACTCTGGGCTGAGGCCCAGAGAACTGCCAGCCTCCTAATTATGGGTATATCTCACTGGTGTCATAGTGGTGTGGCTGGCTGCCTCAGTGCTGCTTCATGTCATGGACAGAGGGCTGGCTGCTCTGAAAACATCACTCCCTTTCTTCACCGCTTACCCTTCCATCTGCCTCATCCCCCCTCCTCATACTTGACTCCTCTCTGTCATCTTGTCCTCATCCAGACCCTTGTCAGCTGTTCTCTCATACACTCTCCCGATAAGGGTCCTTGATTCACAGGTACACTTCTCTCGACAGACAAGGCAGTTCAAGCCCCACACCTCTCCGAGGGGTGTCTCTCTGCTCACACGCGCGCACACACACCCACACACACACACTTTTTTCTGGAAGCTGTGGATGGGGCTGGTTAGGGGTGTGTACGTGTGTGATTACAGCTCCTTGTTTGCCAGCCCCAACACTTCTTTTGAGTTGAGCTCTGATTTTCCTCTGTGTTTTGGTTACTTCGTGCTGCTCTAACAATAAATACCATAAGTGAGTGGCTTTAACAAACGGGTTTATTCTCTTACAGTTCTGGAGGCTAGAAGTCTGAGTTCAAAGTGCCAAGCTCTAGGGGCTGGGTGAAAGCCCCTTGGCCTTGGGCTTCAGCTCTGCCTCTTGCTCCCAGACCAGTGGAACTAGCGGCATCTTCGCTCAGGCAGCTGCTGGCTGCCGAGGCTGACAAGCTCCAAGTTGACAAATAAAATGGCACAGTCCCAATATTACCAAACAACATGGCAGGCCACTAATTGAAGTCCAGAGATAGTTCCAAGATCAGCAGGAAACATGGCAGGCTGCTAAATGAAGACTCGACTACATGCAGGGTCCAAGTATGTGCCAAAAAGCTGCAGAGACCTTTCTCAAAACTTCTCCTATATGCTGGAAGCAGACCACATCCTTAAGGCAGCTACTGAGCTGCTCCAGTAGATTCCACCATGGAGTTGATTACCCGTCTCCTCATGGGGAATAACTACATCCAGCTGCCCAGCCACTCAAAACCAGTTCCCGACAAGTTGACACATAACCTTAACTATCATACTCTGCGAGAATTACCTTAACCCTTTAACTTCATGAAGAGGCCAAGACTTTGGCTAAACAACCCTCCCCTTTTGTCTCTTGCCTCATCCCATACCCAAAGCAGGTTCCTAGGAAGCCATCCATGTAGATTCTACTGCCATTCTTAGATTCTGTCTCAACTCTTAGCACTGCAGGGGACTGAGAGACAAAAAAAAAAAAATTCATTCATTCAATTTCTTAAAAAAATATTCGAATGCTTACAGTGTGCTAGGTGCTGAAGATAGAGAGGCCAACGCCAGTGCCAAACTTAGGAAATTGAAACGACTAATCACATGAATAATTAATTATAATAGCACAAGTGATTAATTAAGGAACTCTGGTGGTATACAACCTAAGGCATTTGACTGCTAGCTAGAGGGTTGGTGGTTTAAACGCACCAGCCACTCCAAGGAGGGAAGTTGGGGCAAGCAACTTCTGCAAAGATTTACCACTTGGGAAACCCAAGGGGGGTCGCTATGAGTCACGATCAACTTGATGGCAGTAGTTTTTTCTTTTTCTTTTTTTTTAAGTAATTAATTAAGGTTGTGAGAAGTGCTGATGATGGGAAGTATGTGGTGTTCTAAGAAGTCTTAGCTTGCAAACGGACGGGGCCTGGGAGAGGCTGGCTGCAAAGAGCCCGGGCTTCCTTCCCCAGCTCCTGCACAGTGATGGATGAAGGGTGGCGGCAGTTTATTTCCCCAGGAAGCCACGTAGCTGGTGTGGGGCAGGGTTTCGTGGCTCCTGCTATTTAATAAAGAACGCAGCATGTGTCCTGGGTAGATGGATGAGCAAATATTCCTGATTGAAGAACCACGTGTCCTCTTGGAATATGGGCGGATGGGAAAGGGTGGAGCTGAGGTTGAGTCTGGGAGATTCCACGGGGGAGGCAGGCGTGAATCTGGAGGGAAGGGTCAGTTACATAGTGGTCCTCCCTAGAAGCCGGAACTCAGCATGGTGGGTAGCTACTGCCCCCTGATGGGCATAGAGACACAGTTTGGTTTTGTCCTTAAGGAAAATTTGGGTCCAAGGCATTTAAAGCCTAGCATTGTATGTAGGTGGGGGGAAGGAGGTTGCAAAAGGGGTGTGGAAGGGGTTCTTTTCCCTGAACACACTGCTCCAGAACTGGGCAGGCCTCACCCCAGCTAGGGCACTGCTGATTGCAGCTTAGCCTTGGGGGATGAAATTTTGATTCCTAAGGGGGGGGTGGGGGGAATGAGGAGAGGAGAAAAAAGAGGGAGGAATGTGGAATCCCAAACCAACTTTATTCACGTGACCCATTCCATTTCCTTTGTCTATTTGTCTCTTTATCCTTCATAGGATTAACCCAGTAGCCTTAAAAATCTGTTTTGTATTTCAATGCTTCTTCTCTTGGGTTATACTTTTAAAAATAAAAAGAACTATGTTACTTTCCCAGAGCTAGGTATTTATAAATCTGGTGTTTTGTGCTCCCACCCCACATCATTATCAATCAGGCATCCAGCCATACAAAATGACTTGAATTGGATGGGGTTTGGGGAGAAAGAGAAACTTACGTTTCACTGTACCTTTCATGCTTTTTGAATTTCCTACCCACCATGTGCTCACGTAACTACCATTTATAAGTAATTATTTTAGAAAGGCATTGAGTCCTTTTGTCAGCAAGGCATTCTGTGAGGTTTGGTGGTCTCCCACACAGAACATTTCCTGAGCCTGATGTGATAGCAGACACACTGTGTGCCAGTACTGTGAACACCCAGATTCTGGCCAGGGGGACCCTTCAGTTTTGAGTCTGATAAACTGACCTCGGGGAACCCCTGTTCCCCAAGAGGACTTGGATTCTAGGTCTGTGTATGTGTATAACAACCAAAACCACTAGCCTTCTGGTTAGCAGTCAAATGCCTTTAGGCACTGCGCCACCAGGGCACCTTCCTATAGGTGTAGAAGCTGGATATTATGTCTGCTTTGGGCGTGTCAGCTGTGAAACCCTCTGTGATTTATTTGTAAGATCCTTTTGGTTAACTCCTATCTCCTCCACTGGATTATTCTTCATGATGGCAGAGAGCAGTTTTAGCTCGCCAGTTTTCTCCCTCAATGCCTGGCACATAGTAGGAGTAAGTATTTACTGGAAGGATAATTGTGTCTGATCTATGATTATGTGTACTTCACATGCCTTAGGCACTACGCCACCAGAGCTCCCATGTATACTTTAGTGTCTGTAAATTTTTTCTGTGAACTGGTACAGACTGAGTGTTACAGATGCCCCATATTCTCTGAGAATAGACTGGTCTGAATGATTTATCTGGTATGTTTGTATCTACGGCTGTACATTCTGGCTGTTTTTTTTGTGCATGGAATCTGGGAATTGGAGTTCTCTGGTGGTGCAAATGGTCAGCTGCTAACGTAAGGGTTGGCGGTTCAAGTCCACCCAGAGACATCTCAGAAAAAAGGCCCGGTGAAATACTTGCTCTGGTGGCGTAGCGTCTAAGGCATTTGGCTGCTAACAGGAAGGCTGGTGGTTCAAACCCACGAGCCACTCCTTGGAAGAAAGTTTGGCCATCTGCTTCTGTAGAGATACTGCCTCAGAAACCCAAGGAGGGGTTGCTATGAGTCAGGTCTGACTGGACAGCACTGCGTTTGCAAGGTCCCTGGGTGGTGCAAGTAGTTTGTGCTAGACTATTAACCTAGTGTTGGCAGTTTGAACCCACCCAGTGGTGGAAGAAAGGCCTGGAGACCTACTTCTGTAAAGATTGGAGCCAAGAAAACCCTGTAGAGCAATTCTATTCTGGAGCCCGTGGTTGCCATTAATCAGAATGGGTTTTGGTTCAATCTGGGAATCTATGAGGACACTTCAGAAGCTTTTTATTGAATTTTTGTATTTATGTAGTTATTATAGCCCAGTTATTATAACCCACCAGCCACTCCTCTGAAGGAAGGCTGGGCAATCTACTTCCGTAGTGATACTGCCTCGGCAACCCTATGAGTCGGGTCCGACTTGACGGCATATAACAACTACAACATAGCCCAGGAAATGCGCTGTGTGGGAGACCACTGAGCCCTGCAGAACGCCTAGCTGATAAAAGTACCCAGTGCATTTCTAAAATAATTGCTTTTAAATGGTAATTGCGTGGGTACATGGTGGGTAGAAAATTCAAAAATCACGAAAGGGACAATAAAACGTATTTATTTGTTTATTTAAATAAATAAGAAAGATTTTTATTTATTTAAAGTTTTATTCAAGTCGTTAATAAACGACTTTCCCTGCCCGCCTTGGTTCTGAATTAGTTGTGAGGTGACTTGTTAAGCAGGTTACGAACCAGCGAAGCCAAGTTTCCCCTGGGAGACAGAGGTGGTACTGGGACTGGAAGTGAGGCCAGTTTCAAGAAACTCCGCCCCCAGAGCGACTTCGGCTTTTCGTTCCGGAACGATTTTTCCGCACCCCACTACACTTTCCTCCGGACCATTTTGAGCAACGAACACTTGCACTTCCGGTGTCTTCCGGCACCTTGGCGTGGTTGTTCTGTTCCTTCACTTGGGTGCGCGGGCCTGTTCTCTTGCGGCTTCGCGCACCTCGGGTTTCCCAGTCTCATGGCGGGCTTGACCCTGTTTGTGGGCCGCCTCCCGCCCTCTGCCCGCAGTGAGCAGCTGGAGGAGCTGTTCAGTCAGGTGGGGCCAGTGAAGCAGTGCTTCGTGGTGACTGAGAAAGGTAGGGGGCGGCGGGGAGGCGGTCCAGGATAGGGCTGGGGTATCCTGGAAACGGGACAAGGGAGTTGACATTCTCCGAAACTTAAGGGAGCCGTATAATTGTTTACCTGCCCCTGAGAGAAGGGACTGGGAATTGAGTTTCTTTTTCAAACGGACTCTGCTGTAGATGTGCCCATAGAGTCAAAGCATTGCCTTGCGTTTCTAAAACGCGTTCATCATTAGCATCTTACTTGGTAACAATGATAATGGCTAACTTTTAATAAAGCCCCAGTAAGGTTTATTGCCTTCGACGAGATGGATTGACACGGTGGCTCCGACAATGGGCTCAAGTATAGCAAAGATCACCGCGCCAGCGGGATCGGGCGGTGTTTCGTTCTGCTGTGCATGGGGGTCGCTATGAGTCGGAAATGACTCGATGGCACATAACAACAAGAGTCAACTGATTGCCAGGCACAATGCTGACTTTTACATGGGTTAATCTCCTGTAATTTTCTCAAGAATCTTGCAAGGCGGGGCTTCTAAATCCCACTTTCCAGGCCAGGAAGCTGGGTCTTAGAGAACTTTAGTAGTTTCTCTTTTAGCTCAGTCTCTTACAGCTGGTAAGTTGTGGATCTTGAATCAGTGTGTTAGTCATTCATACAGTTACTTACTCTGCTTTTGGGTGCCTGCTGTGTGTCAGAGACTATTCTAGGTCCTGGGAATATAGCAACAAACCAAACCAAACAGCATTGCTCTTGTGTTTTCAGGGAGCTCTGGTGGCGTTACCCAGACTGTTTGTTACCCAGAAGGCTGGTGGTTCAAACCCACCAGCCACTTCTTGGAAGGAAAATTGGGCAACTGCTTCCTTAGAGATACCGCCTGGGAAACCCAAGGGGGAGGTTACTATGAGTTGGGTACAATTCCGCAACAGTGAGTTTGGTTTTCCGGAGCCCTGGTGGCGTAGTTCCTAAGGCATTTGACTGCTAACCAGAAGGCTGGCAGTTCAAACCCACCAGCCACTCCTCAGAGGGAAGGTCGGCTGACTACTTCCGTAGTGATACCGCCTCAGAAACCCAAGGAGGGGCCGCCATGAATCGAATCTGACTTGACAGCAGTGAGTTTGGTTTGGGTTTTATGTTTTCAAGAAGGGATTAATGGAAATAGATAGTGATAATGGTGATAATTGCTAAGGAGAAGGACCAGGGAAGAAGGCAAGTAGTCTGTGCACTTGTCTGTTGGGGTGGGAGGGGGCTGGGTTGCCTTACCCATTGGGTGTCCAGGGAGGACCTGCTGGGGTGAGAGTGAGGATGTGGCTCTCAAAGGGAGAAGCAGTCCAGGCAGAGGAAACTACAAGTTCAAGGATGTTGAAATAGGCATATGCCTGTGTGTTGGAGGGATAGCAAGAAGGCCAGGCTGATTGGATTGAGGTGAGTGAAGGGAAGAGAATTAGGAGAGGAGATCAGAGAAGTAATAGGGTACCTGATCACGGAGGACCTATAAGCCATTGCAAGTACTTTGGCTTTTACTGAGTTGGGAAACCACTGGATGGTTTTGAGCAGAGAGTGATATGATCTAACTTACATTCTGGAAGATTCTCTCTGGCTGCTGTGATGCAGATAGATTCCTGGAGAAGAGGGCAGAAGCAGGGAGATGGTTAGGCTGTTGCAGTAATCCAGGTGAGAGATCACATTGGCTTGGACCAGGACGATAGCAGTGGAGGTGGTAAGAAGTGGTCAGAATACGGATAGTTTTGAGGGTAGAGCTGAGAGGATTTGCTGATGGATGAGATGTGGGGTATAAGGGAAAAAGAGAAGTCAGGTTTTTGTCTTGAGCCACTGGAGAGATTTGTTGACTCGCAGAATATCCCTGTATGCTTCATGTTCTGTGTGACCCTCATCACCGCGGGGCAGGGTTGGTGTTGATTAGAGGAGAGGACGATCAGAAGGGTGTTAGTTGTGGAAGTGTTCTTTCCTCTTCCCTGGACTATCATGAGGCACCTGAGGTAGGGACCTGGCCTTATCCAGACCATGCATGTGGCCCTTTTCCAAGTCATCAGCTTGTCTCTAGGTAGTTGCCCCTTTGCCTCTCAGCAGAACAACTGTGGGCACTGGCATCTCTTAGACTCCCTCCACCCCCTGGATCTGAGTGTGTGAGTAGGCAGCCTAACCCCCAAAACAAAATCCACTGCTGGCAAGTTGAGTCTGACTCAGTGACCCTGTGGGGCAGGGTAGAACTACCCCATGGATTTTCCAAGGCTATAATCTTCCCGGAAACAAAAGGCTGCCACATCTCCCTCATGTGCCTGGTGGTTTCAAACCACCAACATTTTGGTTAGTAGCTGAGCGCTTAACCACTGCACAACCAGGGCTCTGGCAGGCTAACAATATGCTAATAATTGACCCATCCTTAGATTCTATTTTGTTAATAACAGAAGTTATAGTTAGGATTGCCACCGTGGCTCTGATTGCTGCACAAGCCATGGCAGCTGCCTGGTTCTTTGTCGTTTTAAGTAGATAAGGGTGAAAGGGAGTGGGAATGCCTTGGTCATGCGTGGGACATGACTAGAATTCTTTTTTTAATGAGCTAGAATAGACTAGAAGGAGTATATCCATGTATGGTAAGAGACTAGTATTCACAAAACTTCTATTTCCATTTTGTATAGAGGATGTACGAGCTCTGGTGGCATAGAAATCCAAGTTTAAGGAAACTTCCTTGTCAGAGTGAAGATATTGGGCTGGAGGTACTAAATGGATGAGATTAAGACGCTGGGCTCCTTTGCATTCCAGCTGCTCTGTGTCTCGGTTCTTCTGCTCAGGTGGCCCTTGTTTGTATTTTCTTGTTTCTGAAGGATGAGTGGGCAGGCTTTTGTAAGAAAACCACGTCCAGATACCAGTATGCTTTCATGGGGCCAGGGGGTGGCTTTAATCCGTTTCCGGGATCGGTGTCATGTGTTAAAAGGCTTGCCATGACACAAGTTCGAGGACGGTTGAAAAAGCAGCAGTGCAATCTGCCCTTTTCCTTTTTGATGAATAAGTTACTTCAGATTTTACTACATAAAAATGTTAAACTCAAAAAGCCTATCGAAAAAGAGCAATGCATTCAGTGGATTACGGTTGGTCTTTGTAACTATTCGTCAGCTGGTTTCTGTTTATTTTTGTCTGTGGCCATTATATTTGTGGGGCCATGGGGAAAGAGCAAAGGAGCCCTGGTGGCTCACTGGTCAAGTGCTTGGCTGCTAACTAAAAGGATGGGTGTTCAAATTCACCAGCTGCTCAGCAGGAGAAAGACATGGCAGTCAGCTTCCATAAGATTACAGCCTAGAAAACCCTGTGGGGCAGTTCTCCTCTGTCCTATGCAGGACTGCTGTGAGTCAGAATCAACGTGATGGCAAGGAGTGTTTCTTTGGGGGGGTGGGGGGTTGATTTTGGAAAGGTTTGATTTGATCTTGTATTGGACAGTACTATGGTCACAGCGTCCTTGAACTCCTGAAGAAGTGTTTATTATTGGCTGTTCTTTGGTCAGGGCCTCAAACATTCATTGCTTAACTTTCCTCCCTGTTTGCTTTGATGTGGAATCCTTTGGGGGCCTAATGTGTGTATGGATCCTCCATAGTCTTGACGTTATCAGGCAAGGGAAAGCAGGTGCTGACAGCAGAGACACTGGATTGGAAGAGAGAGGAAGCCAGTGGTTTCTGAGCACAGTGAGGCCGGGGCCTTGCAGCCTTCCCTCCTAAGGATTCTGGCAGACCGGTGGCAGGATGGCCTGTAGCACAGGATGGTTTGTTCTGTTCGCTGCCGTGAGTTGGGCCTTTGTGAGCTGTAGGGTTTTCAGGGTCTGATCTTTCAGAAGTAGGTCACCAGGCCTTTTTCCCTAGTCTGCTTTGTTCCAGAAACTGGTTCAATATCATAGCAGCACACTAGCCTCTGCTGACAGACAGGTGGTGGCCGTGTCTGAGGTTATTGGCTGGGAACTGAGTCCATGACTGCCAGTTTAGGCTTCGTGAATTTATTGCTTTGGGACTCTTGGTTTAGAGGCTCTCTCCTTCTCCCCACCCACTCTCTTCCACGCTGTTCCAGGGAGTAAGGCATGCCGAGGCTTTGGCTATGTCACTTTTTCGATGCTGGAGGATGTTCAGAGAGCCCTCAAGGAGATTACCACCTTCCAAGGCTGCAAGATCAACGTGACCGTCGCCAAGAGAAAACTGAAGAACAAGTCCAAGGAAAGGGGGAAAGATGGTGAGTTTCTAGTAGCTGAAGGGGTTTCCACCCCTGGTGAGGAGGGGCATTGGCGATGATGATGATGATGAAGAAGAAGAAAGAGAATGGCATAGCAGTCGCTTCTAGAACTTACAGCTTCCTAAATTTCTTTTTGCTGTCCTGAGTCTTACACTGTATTTTGTTACTCATGTAAGTCTGGAAAATCTGGTGTTCCTGGGTGTTGCCACACTTAACCCCGTGGTCAATGTCATCTGTAGCTGGAGCTTCTCGCCAGCGGAGGGTGGTTTGGGAACACAGACTTACTCCATTGCACACATTTATTTATTTATTTATTAAATCCAGAGTCCCCAGAGAAGGCACTGAAGCCTAAGAAAGCCAAAACAGCAGACAAGAAAGCCCGATTAATTATCCGGAACCTGAGCTTTAAGGTAAGTGGCGGAAGAAAACCAGCAGTGTGTGTCCTGAAGGCTGCTGGAGCCTTGGCGCGCTGCTTAGTGGACTCCTCACCAGGACGGTGTAATTAGGCTTAATTCCTTCGCAGTGTGAACCTTAGCCCTGTTGAAGCCAGCAAATGGACCCGTATAAATAAGACTTTATTAAGGACACTAAGTGTAAAAATGCATTCCTTTTTTTTTTTTTCCTCTTTAAAAATGCATTCCTTTTGAGAGGATGATTTTGGAGAAACGGAGGGGAGAAGAAGCTTTCTGACTTCCGTTCTTTATGTGTCTTAGATACAAAGTAAGATGTTCTCTGTTCAGACGTGGTGTCCTCGTCTCAAAAGCCAAAAAGGAGTAAAAATAGTTGGGCTCTTCCTGCTGAGCTACCTTGCTGGTTGGTGGTTCATGTGTGTTGGCTGTAACTGTATGTATCTGTCTCTTTCTTCACCTTCGGCTTCAGTGTTCAGAAGATGACATGAAGAAAGCCTTCGCTCAGTTTGGAGCTGTGCTAGAAGTGAACATTCCTAGGAAACCAGGTATGGGCAAACTTCCATTCAGTCTTGGTTGGATTGAGACTTTAACATACCTTTTCCATATGACCCTTGACCTAAACACCATGTGAAATGGAAATACAAGTTTAAGGAGACTTCCTTGTCAGAGTGAGGATATTGGGCTGGAGATATTAAATGGCTGAGATTAAGATTATTTAACATTACAGTGCTCTCGAACTAAGCACCATTTGAAATAGAAATACAAGGCCTGTGCCGCTGTCCTTGGGAGCCCAAGGTGACACGATGTATACAAAGTAGCTGGCACAGCGCTTAACAAGCGATAAAAGCGCAAGTAATGGTGCTTATTTCCCTGTGGGTCACTGTGAGTCGGGATTGACTTGACGGCAGTGAGTTTGGTTTTTTTATTCCTCTATGGTAGTTTTAGTTAGATCAGAAGTCGTCTTAGAAGAAGAGTTGTAGTTTGAAGAAATGCATTCGTCTTCCCAGACTTGAGTCAGGGTGTGCTCAGCAGGAGGACCTAACCTATTTGCTTTAGTGAAGAGCTGGCTGGTTGACAGGACTCAGGCTATCTTGCCGATCTGAGTTACTGTAATTTCCGTCTTAGTATTCTGTTGACCCCCTACCTGCTGACTCTGACTTCTTTGTATGCATGTCTGCACACAGATGGAAAGATGCGTGGCTTTGCTTTTGTTCAGTTCAAGAACCTCCTAGAAGCAGGAAAAGCTCTCAAAGGCATGAACATGAAAGAGATAAAAGGTAAGCTTTCTATACCCATACCATTGACCCAGATATCTCTGGTGTTTGAGTGAATTGGCACAGTGACCCACTTTGTACATTTTCAAAAGGTAAATAGTTACACTGTTAAGTGTCTTACTGCTAATATTGAGGCTGTTGTGGTGAAATGTTCCTGGTGGATCTTAGGGTTAGACTGGAAAGAACCCATCCCGCTATTCTCTTTCCTTTTGTGATTGATGAAAACTGTCCTGGAACAGTCACTGATGATGCCCGTGAGCGTTGAAGGGATGTGGGATTGCAGGTCTCTCCTGCTTCGTTCTGCTCACTATTCAGCATCCGTGGGCTAGTGTGTTGCCTGTGAGACTAATCTAGGTATTGATTTACCAGGTACCACTGTGCCTGATCATCTAATTAAGACATTAGCTTAGAGCCTTCTAACTTCTGCATGGGGTGCAGATTATTCCAGAATCCCTGCTTTGTTTCTTGATAGTGTAATTGACAATATCTAATCTAACTGGAAACTCTGTTCTAGCTCTTTTATTTTTTCTTTACTCCCTCTGTCCTGGTTGTTATGGCTGTGTAGAAAGGCACTGTTTTTGTTTGTTAATAAAGAGGTTAAGGATTAAAGGGATAAGCAGCTTCTGGGTGTTTTATTTAAGGACTAGCATCCCCTGAGTTGCCACTTTCTTTATCTCCACTGGTTCCATTACTGTGTTTGGTGACTAGAAAGTCATTGCGGGAGATAGGGATATTGGAAGGAAAGCCTTTCTGAGGCCGCTTTTCTGTTGACAGGGCGGACAGTGGCTGTGGATTGGGCTGTGGCGAAAGATAAGTACAAAGATACTCAGCCTGTGTCTGCCTCAGGTAAGATGGGGTGTTGGCAGGAGAGGCTGGGTTCTGGGGGAGGTTATGGAATGTGTGGACACAGCTCTTGTGTCTGGGATAAAAGTGTAAGGGAGCTTGCTTGTCAGAGTGAGGCTCTTGGATTGGAGATGTCGGAAGCACCAGCTTAACCAAAAGAATGACACTCAGGAGGAAGAGCTTGGAAATGAGCCTGAGCTGTTCGTCAGCTTATGTGATGCTCTCTGGTCTCCAGCCCCAGAATGTAGGATCATCTGCATCTCGGCCCACTTCTCAGTGCAGGTGTGATGAGGAGTAGGGTCTGATTTCATTGTCCCATCAACTTCCTGTTCTTTCCCAGTATTTTGTAATAGGGAGTGATGAAACCTTAAAAAAAAAAAACAAACCAAAACCAGACTCACTGCCTTCGAATCAGTTCTTACTCATAGTGACCCTTCCTTGGGTTTCCAAGGTGCTATCTCTATGAAAGTAGATTGCCCAGTGTTCCTTCTGAGGAGTGGCTGGTGGGTTTGAACCGCCAGCCTTCTGGGTAGTAGTTAAATCCCTTAGGCACTGTGCCACCAGAGCTCCTGATGAAACCTTCCAGACCAAACTCACTGCCATTGAGTTGATCCCAACTCATAGCAACCCCTCCTTGGGTTTATGAGGCGGTATTTCTAAGGAAGTAGATTGCTGCATCGTCCTTCTGAGGAGTGGCTAGTGGGTTAGAACTGCCAGTCTTCTGGTTGGCAGTCAGATGCCTTAAGCACTATGCCACCAGAGGAAATCTAAAACTTCAGTTTCATTTAGAGACTCTTTGGCTTTTAAGTCACCAGGATCTCCGAGAACACCTCACTGAGATTGAAGATCATGGCTGGGCTCCAGGGAGCGTGGTGTACAAGCTGTGGCTGGTGGGGAGGTGTAGTTGCTGCTCCTCCCATTCTGAGCCAGATTAACTTTCAGACTCCAATGAATAGGATCGATGCCAAAAGGATCTGAAGGACGAGGGGCCTCGGTGTTTCGTTTTTGCTTTTTTCCCTTGTAATTATGCCTATCATATGTAGTGAGAGAAATGTGTAAGATTCTATAAAACCAGAGGAGCTAGGAACTTGAGGTATTCGTTTCTCTTCTTCAAATAACCTTATTTTGGATAGTAAGAGAGCTCTTAACTTTCTTTACCTCTTTCCTTAGTTAAGGCGAAGAGCCCTGAACCTAAACAGCAGGGATCAGGTAAAGAGAAGGGGAAGGAGGAAGAGGATGATGATCATGAAGACGAAGATGATGGTGAGGAGGAGGAGGAGGAGGAAGAGGATGAAGATGAAGAAGATGAGGAGGAAGAAGAGGAAGGAAAATCGAAAGTGACGAAGCTTGTGCAGATTCAGAAGTAAGTAGCTCAGTCTGTCCTGAAGCAACAGGGGAGGATTCAGGATCATCTCTGAGAGGGAGAATGACGACATCTTTTCCCTGCTGCCTCTAGTGCAGAAGTGGCACTTGTACCCTAGGTTTTTGCATCTAATGCACCCATGGAAATAGAGTGCACGAGTGTATCATGTGTATACAGCTCCTAGGAACTGATGTGTGAGAGGGCTGCATGGTTTGCAAAAACTGGATAACTGGTGTGTTACTTGTATAAAAATGGGGCAATGAAGTTGAATAGGCCCCTCTGTCAGCCTTGGTCCTTAGCTGTGAACTGTGCCATTCCAGAGCTGACAAGAGGGCAGTAGCTGCAGAGAGCAGTGAAGAGGATCAGTCCGACGAGGACAGCGACCTGGAGCAGAGAGACGGTGCTGCTGACGGAGAGGAGCTGTCTCACAGTGATGTGGATGCCGAGGAGCCGGGGGATGAAGGTTTGCCGGTGGTCCCTGAAACTTCTTTACTTGTGTTGGGAGAGTGGGCGTCCGTTCAGCCCAAGCCTAAGGGGCTCTACCAAATTTATGTTTAAATGCTGAAAATGACACTGTCCTATTCCTTTCTTCTAAAGGTGTTTTGTTTTGTTTTTAAAATAACTTTGGAGTGGTGTTGGAGGGTTAAGATCCTTTCTTAGGAAAGTTGAAACCCCGTTAAAAGCTAAGCCACTGCCTGCCTCTTGATTTTCCAAGTTGAGTGAATAACTGGATAGACAGGATAGTGTGTCTTAATGGCAAGGTGTATTTTAAACATTTTTTTTTTTTTAAGTTGGGATGGGGATGAAGGACCTATTAGGGTATTTTGTGGAACTGTAACCAATTCCTATAGCTATCTGAGCTCTGGTAGCATAGTGCCTAAAGCACTTGACTGCTAACCAGAAGGCTGGCGGTTCAAACCCACCAGCCACTCCTCGGAAGGAAGATGGGGCAATCTATCTTCTGTAGCGATACTGCCTCGGAAACCCAAGGAAGGGTCGCTGTGAGTCGGGTCCAACTCGATGGCACATAACAACGACAACAACAACAACAACATCTTTAACAAGAATGTTAGGGGTAAACCCAGCTCATTTACTGAGAAAGACAGGTCATTGCAGACCAAAGGATGGCCAATAACTGGCCTTTTAGTTTGAGTGGACATTTTTACTCGGCTCTCAGGCTGGTTGCTGCTTCCAGTTTTGTAAGACTGGCACGTACGAAATCTGAGGAAATGAAAGTGTGCAGTGGAGAGGAAATGATCTGCACCGTGGGACTGAAGGAGCTGTGCACTGAGGGGATGCTGCGACCCGCACTCTACAGCCCAGATTCAGTTGTCTCTTAACTGTTCCTTCACTTACAGAAACCCTAGGACTAATACATGGTGATGAGAGAGAAAATTAATAAAAAGAAAAAGAGTGTTGAAGAGTATTCCTCACTAGTCCCCCCGACAGCCTCCCAAGGTCACTTTGTTTCTTATACATTCTTCCAGGAATTATCTAGGTGTCTATGTACATATATACATATATGTCTCTTCTTAAAAAGAAACAAATCTCCCTTATACCCGCTGGTCCCCTCAGCAAAGACAACCAGTGTTACAAGTTCCTTATACACACACACACGTGTATACAATGTAGTATGTTTTGAATGAATGAATGTGTCCCATTTCCTGTGCTTTTCTTTAATCATGAGTGAGTTTGGCCTCTCTTCATATACTTGTTGCGTATCCTTTGTCCATTAAAATTTTTTTTCCTTACTGATTTAAGGAAGATCTTTAGAGATTTAGGAAGTTAGCCCTTTGTCATATGGCTTGCATTCTTTTAGTTTCTTCAGTTTCTTGTTTTTACTTTAGATGGACAAATCTCAAAGAGAAAGAAGAGGCGGAAATTGCCCTCTGATGTGAATGAAGGGAAAACTGTCTTTATCAGGTACGTGTCTGTACCCCGAGAGGACTGCTGTCTGTGGTGCCCATGTGTGCTGCTTCTTCTCCCTCTTCTGTTTGGGTCCTGTTCTTGTGACCTAGGCCAGAAAGACAGATGCCTCTATGACCATCAGCACATCGGATCCCAGGAACATTCCAAAGAACGGAAGTATAAGAGATTCAAAACTAACAGAAGAGAGGATTAGCAGGGAGTCTGGAGACGGTGCTCTCATTTAGATTTCACTCTTTGGAACTGGGTGACATCATTTGGGACAAACTGAGCCTTCATCTGTAAGAAACATTTTACTTCTGTCCGTAGTTTTAGGGGCATGCTGAAGAGTGACACCACTTACCTCAGACAGTTTCTCTCTTCACACCAGCTTACCTTTTGTCATCTAGAGCAGTGCCCAGGATGAAGTAAGGCGTCGCTTCTCTTTCCAGGAAAGCTGGGGGTGGGAGTACGGGTGGAGATAGGTTTAATTTCATGCTGCCATTGCTGTGTCAGTCTGCTGACTTCCAGAGATTGGTATTTTCGTCAGTTCAGGACATGTCAAGCATACTTGCTTCTCCGTGTCCTCATGATCAGTGTGCTAGGGCCTTGGGGCTCTTACTGTAGAGGCTGTTTTACCCTCTTCTGAGGTAAAACTAAGATTGTTGTTACCATACAAGTAATTTTTGTTCGTTGTAGAAAATTTAGAAAATAAATGAGCAAAGAGACAAACTAAAATTACCCTTGGTCACTGCTCAGAGGACACTCACACCAGGCTCAGTTCATAAATACTTACAGGGGTGAGTTTAGACTGTGTGCTGTACTACAGCCCTTTCCCTCAATAGCTTATCTTTTCCTGATTGTCATACCATGTTATTTGGAACTGGCATATAAATAATTTTGTATTCATAGAGGATTCTGTCTAATAGGAAGGAAGAAACATCACACTCAGAAGCCTGTGACCTCAATAGCAGGGATGCCATTCATTGTACATCTTTATACAAAGAAGGAACATAGGGAAGTAAAGGAATGGGAGAGAGGAAGCTATGTACCGTGTAGCTAGGAAGTCTCTTACTGCAGAAATCCTTTTTCATCTGGGTCACTCTGAGTTATTTGTGAGGGTGTTAATTGAGTAAAAACTGAAAGCCAAGCTCATTGCTGTTGACTCAATCCCGATTCATAACAACCTCTCCTTGGGTTTCCAAGGTGGTATCTCTTGGAAGTAGATTGCCCAATCTGTGTTCCAAGGAGTGGCTGGTGGGTTTGAACCGCCAGCCTCCCGGTTAGCAGTCAAATGCCTTAGGCACAACACCACCAGAGCTCCCTTTAATTGAGTAAAGGGGAAGTAAAATTATAGACCTAGGGGACTGTTTTTCTTACTTCTGTAAGGATGGGTGCAGCTGGGGAAATAAGGAATTTTGACATCGTGTTGAAATTTAGAAGGACAAAATTTCCTTCCAACATTTCTTCATCCCATTGAGAGAAATACATGATTTCTTTTCTTTTTTGTATGTAGCTGGTAAACTACCATTTTGCCTTTGACTTTTTATTTTGAAGGATTTTCTGACTTTTGTATATTTTTAACTGAATTGTAGATTTCTGAACAACACAAAGAAAAAAGAGCTAGTCCTGAGAGAGGGAGAAAGGCTGGCAGACACGTTTGACTTTTCTCACTAACCTACTGTGAGTCTGTCGCTTATAGTAAAGGAAACTGCTTTTGGCTAACTTAATGAAAAAAGAGGGTTTGTTGGATGAACACTGAGGTTCCTCACAGAATCAAAGGAACTGTCAAAGAACAATCTTCAAGAAGGGGATGAGAGGCTGGGCAGTTTTGGGACCCCAATGTAGGCAGTTGTGGGTCTTTTTTATAGAGGGGCACCACTTTCTAAATTTTTCTTGGAAGTATAACCTGTGTGGTGTAAAGTCATTTATCTGAGTGTATAGCTCAGTGAGATTTTTCCTATGTGTGTACCCACATAGTCCCCCCAAATCAAGATGCAGAACAACATTTCCAGCACCTCACAAGTATCCTCAGATGGGCAGTGCTCTTTTGAAGTGAATCTGCATCCACAGCTTCTGGTCTTGATATATGTCTGAGTTTCAGGTGCCTGGGAGAGAGACTGGTTGACAAGGGCAAGCCAGTCACATGTGGCCCTGGGGCAGAGTCACGTAGCAGAGGCCTGGCCGCTGGCAGCCACCCGATGTATCGGTGCTGTCCCTGAGCAGCTGGGGGTGGTTGTGAGCAAGAGGGCCACCCAGGGATGTCTAACTCACCTAGCTTGTACCAGAATGCAGGATCTCACTTTGTGCATTGACCTTTCTTGTGGCCTTTTGTTGTCTTCCATAGAAACCTGTCCTTTGACTCAGAGGAAGAAGATCTAGGGGAGCTGCTCCAGCAGTTCGGGGATCTCAAATACGTGCGCATTGTCCTGCATCCAGACACAGAGCATTCTAAAGGTATCAGCTGTTAGCTGGTCAGGCCCTAAAATGGTAGGGGTCACTGCCATGGGCATTGATAAGGCTATATGAGCATGTACTGTGCCCTTCCTAGGGGCCCACAGTCCATCTAGCACAGGTCTCTGTTCTGTAGATGTGCCAAGGACATTCTGAGGTTGTCTTCCATGGTGCCAGACTCAGCATCTGTAATGGTGCTGCCAGCCCTCATTTTGTCTAAGCTCTGTGAGCTCTTGCTCATTTACAATCTAGGGTAATGAATTCCATTTGTTGTTCTTCTTTGGGTTTCAAATGTGATGGCGTCTCATGGGTATTAATTATTCCACATTGCTTGAAATTACTGGGATCTTTTCAGCTGCTCTTGGTAGAGGTGGAAGCTGACAGAGAAGTTTTGGTGCAGTGGCAGTAGTCAGGAGGCATGCCAGGTAGCAGGAATGCTGCTTTGGATTCCCCCTCTCCCAAGGCTCTTTCTTTTAAGCTCCAGGGGTTGACCATTCCTCACTCTAGTGTACTGTTACTATTAGCTAAGCATCTTGCAACCCATTCATAGTCTTGATTTCGTCACCTGCAGCTGTTCTCCTGAAGTGGTGAATTCTTGATTGTTCTGATTCTTGATTCCTTTGAGATTTAGCAAAAGCTGTGAGCCCTCTCCCTGAAAGAATGCCACTTTGGAGTGTTTGTGGGTCTCTGGAGCCTTTCCATGGATTAAGAACCTTCACTCTGAACCTTCTTATTTTCCATGTGTTGAGCCCTAGTCCTTTTGGTGTCCCCCTCTGCTGACAAGGTTGTAAGTAATGCACCGTGATGGATGAGCACTGAACTGCTTCCCGGGGACAGGTCTAGTCCGGCCGTGCCGCAGACCTCCGTTTCTTATCAGTGAAATGAGCGATTCAACAAGGGTAATCGCCTCAGGGCCTTGGGCTCTCATATTCAGTGTATTTTTTGGGCTTTCTCTGTTTTTGTTATGTTTTTCTAAAAATGGACAACTTGATTTGCATAGACTCCCCACATACTGGTCATCTGCTGCTTTTCTTGATGATCCCCACCCACACCTCTGTCCGTTTTTGGGTGCTGTGGTGAGTTGGGTTGATTGACCTGCTACATCTCTTTCTTGGATTCTTCACGTTAGCTGAGAGTTAATGATCTTAATAAGCGTAGTTTTAATTATTCATTCTTAATGCATTGTCCTTTTCCTAGCCCACGAAATTTTTCTGACATCTTTTCTGCCTACTCACATAGCCTTGGGCTCCGCCTACCGTTTGCCCCTGTCATGGTGCCATTTCAGTGCCTGGAAGAGCTAAATGCCATCTGTAACACTTAGGGAAGTGCTAAGACTGTACCCAGTACTGACCCTGGAAATTCCAATGATAGAATTCTTACTCATTCAAGAGAAGTACCTGTTCCCTTCATATTAGATGAATAGTCTAGTTGGACTGTTAGAAATATCTTCCTACTAAGTTAAATGCCAGGCACTATGTTAGGTGCTAGGAGTACAGAAACAACCAAGAAACAAGGTCCTTATTCCTGAGGTGCACAGTCTGTTGGGGAAGATGTCTCCTGACTGGTTGGTGCTATGATGGAGCTGTGACCAGAGGACCAGGGGACACACAGACTTAGGAACACTCAGGCCTGACAAGGAGGGAAGGTCACACAAGGTGGTGCCCCTTGGGGCGCCCCTGCCACGATGTGTTCTTTCAGTTGGTCTGCATTCTTCTTGGGGCAGAAGAATGATGCCCCGGTAGCTCTATATTCTCGTGTTGGAGACAATATTAAAGTTTAAAGAGATGCTGATGACATAGGGAACTTGGAGTTCTTATTTTGGAGTCTATTGTAAGGTGAACCTCAAAATTGATGTTTTTTTGTTTTAAATAGCTGCTTTATCTCAGAAGCAGAGTTAGGATGGGCTGGTGGGTCCTGCGTCTCACCAGCAGGGAGGGGAGCCCTGTGGAGAGTCCAGAACATGAGCCACGCACTGAGCTGCTGGCTCTCTGGTCCCTGCTGTGTTTGTGTGATGGAGTCCAGGGACTTCACCCTGAGAGGCCGAGCTGCCCTGCTCTGATGCCTCCCCGGTGACTGATGACAGTGAGGTCTGTATTTAATTTCAGGGTTCCGTGGTTCCTGGCGCATTTCCAGTCCCCAGTAGACATTCAGTAAATGATACTGCATTAAGTACAGGCCTGTAATTTCGTTACCATTTCCTTTTATTAAGGAGGGAGATGGTGTCTTAGTTCTCTAGTGCTGCTATATCAGAAAACCACAAGCGGACGGCTTTAACGAGCAGAAGTATATTTTCGCACAGTTTAGAAAGCTCAAGTCCGAATTCAGGACACTGGCTCTAGGGGAAGGGGCTCTCTATCAGCTCTGAAGGAGGGTTCTGTCTCTTCAGCTTCTTCCTTTGCATCTTCATGTGTCTTGGTATCTGTCTTCCCCCATTTCTCCCTGATTGTTGCTTGCTTAACGTGTTCTTTTATATCTCAAATGAGGTGGACGTAAGACATGCCCTACCTTAGTACTGCTTCATTATAACAAAGAAAACCCATTCCCAAGTGGGGTTATAACCACAGGTAGAGTAGAATTTACAACACATATTTTTTGTGGGGAGGGCACAATTTAATCCATAACAGATGGTGAGACCAAAGTTCTAAGAAGCATTAGAAAAGATGAAGGAAGTAGTGACAGTTCATGGAGAGTGGGTATAATACCTTATATATCTTTGAATCTTCAGTGCCTAATGTAGTGCCTATCCCATTGGCCTGAATAAAAGGAGTCTGCCACTCCACTCTGTGTCAGGTGGCCATCATTTGTAGTGTTGTCTTTGGCTTTCTGGTGGGTCAGGGAGTTCAGGATCTCATGTACTGTATTTTTACACACCTAACACACATTGTACATTTTTTGTAAACTGCACAGCACTCCCTTGCCAATTAGTTTCTTGCGTGCACCATGCACGTTCATGTTTGGGTGCATTGTTTGTAATGGGCACGTTATATGTGTGAAATATACAGTGTTTTTGTCTCTCTGTGCAGGATGTGCATTTGCCCAGTTCCTGACTCAGGAAGCAGCTCAAAAATGCCTTGCAGCTGCTTCTCCAGAGACTGAGGTAAGGAAGACGTTCAGCCTACAGCTTAGATGGGAATGGCTCCTGGAGGCAGCATCTGATGTTTACACAGTGCTTGACTGTTACCATTGCCAGTAATAGTAATAAAGCTAACACTTAGTGAGCTCTTACCGCGTTAGGCACCGAGCTAAGTGCTTTACATGCATTACTGTGTGTAATCCTTATATCAGCCTGTGAGGCTGTGGCAATTGTCCCTGTCTGTAGATAAAGAAACAGGTGTAACAATAATAATCTGATAGTTGTTGATGGTTATCTGTGTGTCTGCTCCTGTTGTGGGCTGATGAGATGAAAGACCAGACAGGAAGGAATTAGGCCAATGCTGAAGTGAAGTAAATGTTTGAGAAAAAGTGTGTGGGAGAGGGGAATTTTTCGGTACATTGTCTAAAAGAAAATATAAATCGTTGTAGAATAATACGTATCCTTGTTGTTGTTGTTTACACTCTCAAGTCGGCACTCACCATCTCATCGGCTTTCTGTAGAATGCTAAAAACTTTCCTGTTCACAGATGGTTTTCCAGATTTTGGGCCTGTTTGGGCACTAATCGGTTTCCATACAATAAATTATTTACTGCTGACCACGGTAGGTACATGTGTGGTTGTTCTCACAGCTCTCCTAAATACTGTGAGGCTCAGTGGCCCGCCTGTAGCCAGCTGGGCTGAAACATCCTGGGGCTTGAGTCCTTGGTAAAATAAGGGTTCGCTCTGTTGTCCTTGATGTTCTTTGTCAGGGCCTTAGTTCCTGCTTGTTACATATCTTGACAGATGGGGTTGCAATCTTTTGCAGGGTGGTGGGCTTAAACTGGATGGCCGTCAGCTCAGGGTCGACTTGGCAGTGACCCGTGATGAGGCCGCGAAGCTTCAGACGAAGAAGGTGAAGAAGCCAACGGGGACCCGCAACCTCTATCTGGCCAGAGAAGGCTGTAAGTGGCTGTGGGTGAAGGGGCTGGCTTCTCAGCTGCTGGTGCAGTGTCCTCTTCCACAGTGCTGTGTTGTCTGGCCACATTAGCAGAGGTGACTTGCTGTTAGAGAACCCTCACCTGGTTTGTGGGTTAACCCATCCTGATTTATGTTTGCTGCTTGCCTTCAGGCCTCATTAGTGGATTGGCAGTGCAAAGAGGGAGGCCAATTATCTTTGCATGTCATCATTTCTAATAAGAGGTTTTCTGAAGGAGTTGAAAATTATGACTAAAATTACTCTTTGGATTATTCATGGATTAAAATACGCACCCAGCCTCTTTCCCTTAATGTCAGAAAGATAATCAGAAATTAGCTTTAAGTACCCAAAAAAAGGCCCCATCTCCTAGATCACACAGTGTTTATCAGCCCACCTCTGCACAGCTGCACTGGCTTTTGGTGCTAGGCCTCTATACGGGGGTCTGATTGTTTTCTAGACTGGCTTCTCTCGCCACTTAGTGATGGCCCCCAGGTACAGGACAAACAGCTACATGTCAAGGGCAGGTTATAGGTAGAGCTGTTTGCTCTCCAAATGCCTGAGATGCCCTAATTTTCTGAACTTACTCTAGGCCTTTCCTTCTGACTCTGGGGATGTGCATGAAGTTTCTTTGAGGAAGAACAGGAGCAAAATCACAAAATGTTCAGAGCTGTAGTCCTTCAGCAGCTCTGAGGCCAGACCTTAGCCCAGCCCTGTAACCTATTTCTGGGTCTCCCCAAATGCCAGTACGTCTTGGCCAACAGAGTCCTTTGGGCCCTGTACAGAGAGTTTGCATCATTCAAATCACATTGCTCCTGTTGCTCAGTGAGAATTCCCTGGATGATGTCTTGGCCTTTTTCCCGCTTTCTGCAGTGATTCGTGCCGGGTCGAAGGCTGCAGAGGGTGTGAGCGCTGCTGATATGGCCAAAAGAGAGCGGGTGAGTGGGTTAGGGCTCAGCCTTTGGTTTCTTGATGACTTGTTATTATGAGCTGATCAGAAGTAGTTCCTGCATGTGGGGTGCCCTAGGGGTGGTGTATGGGTCATAACGCCTACTTACGGTCTTGTTAGAAAAACACACAGGTGCTGAAACAGATAATCTAGCATGCTATGTAATGTATCTGTGTTTCATGCCGTTTTAAGAACGGGGTCTTACTCTTTATTTTCCTGATGCTCAGCAGTAAGTGTTTGCTGAAGAGCATCTGGTAGATCGTGCAGTAAAGACTGGAGATGAGTGAGGGCTGTGTGAGGTCAGGGGTCAGTACAGATGCAGAACATCGGAAAGATGGGCCGCAGTTATTAGGGAAGGAAGTCAACTTGGGCCTTGGAAGGTCGCTGACGTGTCAGGGTTGGGTGAAGGGGCAGGAGATGGCATCTCTGGATTATAGGATCATTTTAGAAAAACTTCTTATAGAAGCTTTTAATTCATGCTGTCCAACTGGAGTTTTTACTGTTAGCTGATTACCATTAAGTTTTTTTGCTGTTTGGTAATGTTCTCAGTGATTTTTATTTTTACCCATGTAGCTTAACTTCACAGCCAGTCTAGAATGGTAAAAATGCATAACCACTCACAGAATGAGCTGTGGAACTTAGAGTACCAAAGATGCTGAACAGAGATGAGACCGTAATGACAGCCAGGGGCCATACTTCCTTTTTCTGTGCACAGGTTGTAAGTGAGTATTGTCAGCGCTCCTGTGCACAGATTCTAGATATGTGTTCTCAGCTGTTTTGGTAGTGACTATCTAGAAGTCATGGTTCTCGAGGGGCGTTGCCTGCCCTTTCTGACCACAATGACATGGTGACATATTTCTTTTTATGTAGCAATAGTTTTTCTAGCCAGAGCTTAGTAGATAGTAAATTTACAGCAGGCACAGACTTCCTGTGGGGAGAAGTCAGACTTGAACTTAGACGTGACGATCTCTTCAGATTTCTCTTTAATGTTCATTTCCAGAGGATTCGTTTGTTTTGTGATTTGTTACTACTTTTACCAAACAAGCAGCAGCAGGAATAAGATGAACTGATAAAAGAAAAAAAAAAATTAAGACTTTTTCTATCAGCCTTTTATTTAAAAACAAATCAGGAGACAAATGCCAGCCTTCCGTGGATTGCCCAGGACAGGGCTTTTGTGGCAGCATAGCTCCAGGAGCAGAGTGCCATTCTGTGTCATGGACGTCCCGTGTCATGGACGTCCCTTTGCCTCAGGGTGGCAGAGTTGAGACGAAACCGTATTCTCTCAAATATACTTTAAAGAAACTCCATTTCCTTCTGGAGGGACTAGGTTGTTGCTTAGAGGTGGTGGGTAAATACGGGCTTGGACATAGCTGTTAACTACAGAATTAGTTCCTCTTTGCTCAGGGCTGGGTTCAGAGCTTGGGATTTCCTGTATGTTACTTCATTTAGGTTTCACATCAGTGCCGACAGATTGACATTAATTATACTTGGATCTACAGTTCTAGTTTGCAAATGAAAAAAATTGAGGCGTTACTTCGCAGTTAGGGCTAGATTTCTCATTCAGGGCTGATTCCTGAGCCCCTGACCACCCCACCTACCCCATGTGTTGTTCTTTCAGTTTGAGCTCCTGAAGCATCAGAAACTCAAGGACCAGAATATCTTTGTCTCTCAGACGAGGCTCTGCCTGCACAATCTGCCAAAAGCCGTGGATGACCAGCAGCTCAGGAAGCTGCTGCTGAGTGCCATGGGAGGGCAGAAGGGGGTGCGCATCAAGGAGGTGAGTCCTGCCGCTCGGATCTCACGCGCCACCCTGGTGCCGCTGAGTCTTGGTTCCAGCCTGCGGAGCCAGCCTAGCGCCAGCACACTGACAGTCAGCTGTTCCGACCACTGTCAGTGTGAACGGCTGACTTCGGCGTTTTTCACCTTTTTTGCTTCTTCATTTTAAGAACTACCTTACACATCTGACCAGATTGCAGCAGGATGGGATGGAGTCTCTGCCCTTTGTGAATTAATTAGCAGGTGTTTAGGAAACGCCTGCTGTGTGCTCAGCAGTGTGCTAGGTGCTACAACGTTAATTTTCTTATAGAGAAAATAATCTTTGTGCCCTGTTCTGTTGAAGAGCATTGTACCACCAATTAGGCTCTTACCCTAGAGAAGGGCTCATCAGGCCCTGGGGGTGCACAAGGGCCACCGTGCTCAGCAGTTACATCAGGAAAGCACTGGATCCGTGCCAGGAGTCAGCTAGGCATCGTGAGTGCACAGAGGTCGCTCCCTGCCCCCTGCGCCCTCTTGCACACCTCCATCTAGTACTTCTGGTGCACTGTCTGTCTGTCATTCCTCCCAGCCACAGGGAGCTTTTTGAGGGCAGGTGTTGTCTACCCAGTGCTCGGCATCCATCTCTGGATCAGTATTTATTGAGGAAGTCCCAGCCAGTACTGTGGGTCAGCTTTGCCCTGTCTCACCACCACCACCGTTTCCCAATCCCTGTAGCCTCCTCAGAATGCATGGTATTGATACTTGGGGAATGATGTCAGAGCATGTGAGCATAGTAGCACGTATCTGGCACTGAGTAAACTGCCCAGAATGTTACTGGCATAAGGATCAGTTGTGTCATTTATTGTGTCAACATCCACGATCTTACTCAGCGGCTGCACCATAAAAACCTCTTGTAATTTAGAGAAGTGTGTGTGTGTGTGTTCTACGGTGTTTGCGTTGTATTGATTCTACAGCGTTTGCATTGTATTGCACTTTCTCTAGTAATTTCATCGCTGTAGGATTAGCGTCTCAGCAGGAGGCAGGCGCCTCCCTTCATATGCTCTTGATTCCCTCTCAGTGTGTGACACAGTCCCAGACCCAGAGCAGATCCCACCTGCACCAAATGCCACATCCCCGTAGCCCTGGTCTTGGCTTCTCCATTACGTGGGAACAGCAGCTTCCTGGGATAATAGCCTATAAATGATCAGTTCTCCCAAAATATCCTGCCTTGGGGCCCCAGGATGCATGTTACATTGGGCTGAAGGACGTACAATCTGAGGAAGACAGCTGAAACGCCTTCTTATGTGTCTGAGGCTGTGTGTTGTACAGCCTCTTCCCTATACCAGAAATGTCCTTCTTATCTAAAGGCATTAAGCCTCTTTCCTTTCTCAGCCTTTCTTCTGTGGGGTGTGTCTTCAGTGAGAAGATCCGTGGAGAGTACTCCATCCTCACACTTTGTTGTACAGTGTAAGATACCACACGCCTCATGGCCTATATGTATGTGAAAAGGTAGCGGTTATCCTTTTCCCTTGGGATGTTAATTTACCTTGCATGCTTATTTGTAGGTCTGTGTTGGTGTCTGTTTTAGAATGTAAACTCTTTGAAAGCAAGACGGTATCTATTCAGTATGGACGGCGTGCTCAGCATTTTCCAGTGGACAAGCACGTGTCCAGTGTCATTCCAGTACATTTCTGGTGGTGATGATGTGGGTGGAGATCCTGCTTCAGTAACCTGATTTCTTATTGAGGCTGCTGAAGCAGTTCATGCCCAACCAGGCTTCTCCTTCTGCAATGACTGGCTCTTTTCTTTTTCTGCTCACAGTGTAGGGTAATGCGAGACCTGAAGGGTACTCACGGGAACGTGAAGGGCCAGTCCCTGGGCTATGCCTTTGCAGAGTTCCAGGCACACGAGCATGCCCTGGCAGCCCTGCGGCACATCAACAACAATCCTGACATCTTTGGGCCCCAGAAGGTGAGCCTCTTCCTGGGGGAGGGACTGTTCTGGGAGGGCAGCTTGCAGGAAACCACTTGCCTTCCTGCCCACCTCTGACGAATGAGTGGTGGGGGGAGGAGGAGAATCCAGGTCTGTGGAGGGAAGGAGCAGGTGATTCCAGGTGATAGGTGGTTAGGGGAGACTTTAGACTAGACAGATGGCTTCCTGCAGGGAGAGGAAGTGAAGGGAGTGGCAGCCACTGACTTGTAAAAGCAGGCAGTGTGGGGGGCAGCTTGGCTCACTGTCTAATGACTGACATTCTGTCTCCATCTGACAGAGACCAATAGTAGAATTCTCTCTGGAAGATCGAAGGAAGCTGAAAACGAAGGAGCTAAGGATCCAGCGTAGCCTGGTATGGAACTAGCGTTGCGGTTTCTAAAGAGCGTGTCTAGGCCCTTCTCTTCCGCACAGTGTGTGGCCCCGCCCCCTCGGAGTAGAGCCCCACCTCACTAGGGTCATGGTTGCCCATTACTCTCAGTTCCCTAGGAAGCTCTGGGACTCTCATTTGGGTGCACATCTTGTGATAGCTGCACAGGAGAAGGCACAGGAAGGAGTGAGGGGACTCAGACCCCAGTATTCCCATCAGTGGTTCTCGTGCAGTGTTTGGCGTGGTGCACGCCAGAATTGACGGCCAAGATTACATTCCCTATTGATTGCAGCTGTCCGTTCTCTACCTCTCTCTTCACATTGGATTGCTTTAGAAGTGTGGTGCCTCGTGGTTTTAGCACTGTTTCTAATCCAGTGTTGTGTAGCAGAAATAGTAAGGGCTTTGGGAACAGGCGTACTGTGTTCACAGTCTGGCTCTGCCCCTGTCTCACAGCATGTTCTCTGGCAAGTTATTACCTCTCTGTGCTTCAGGTCCTTGTGTTTCCAAGGGGGCTAACAACGTCTGCCGCACGTGCTTGACGTGACGATTAAGTAACACGTGCAAGGTCCATAATGCACTGTGTGGTCAGCAGGAGTAAATACTTTTTTTTTTTTAACCCATGTACCCCAGGACATGTGTCGTTGTTGGGTGCCATTGAGTCGCTTCTGACTCGGCGACCCCACATACAACAGAGTGAAGTACTGCCTGGCTCTGCACCGTCCTGCTCGTCGCTGTGCTTTGCCTCACTGTTGTAGGCTCTGTGTCAGTCCAGCTCCTTGAGGGTCTTGCTCTTTTTTGCTGACCCTCTTCTTTACCAAGCATGATGTCCTTCTCCAGGGACTGGTCCCTCCTGGTAACGGGACCAAAGTGCAGGAGATGAGCAGAGCTGGGTTAGTGCCATATAGCTCTTGTATTTGTGGCTCTTGTTGGCGTTAGACCTTCACTCTTGTGTATACCTTCACTCTTGTGTATACCAACCTTCTGTGGCGTGTGCTGTGAGCGTGACCAGCAGAAGAGCAGCGTCAGTGGTTTGTACGGTGGCTCTGGGCTGAAGAACCTGGATGTGGTCCTTGTTCAGGGCAACTTTATTGCACTAGATGTTGAATCGTTGCTGCCTTGAATCATTGCTTCAGAGATGATTCTGAAGCTACTGTTTGTGTTTGTGTTGTGACTGCCCGTTACCCCAGCACGGCTGTGAATTGCTTGTAGTCACTTTGCTGCGTGGGAGAAGGCTCCTTCTCCTTTCTCCAGGCTCTTCTAAATCTCCTCTTTGCTGTGTGTGTCCATCAAGAACCCTCATCCAGAAACCAGATGGCATTCTCTTGTTTCATGCAGCAAAAAATGAGATCTAAGTCTGCATCCGGTGAGCCCCCAGGGGAGCGACCCAAGCCTGGAAAAGACCAGCAACAGAAGGCAGCTCGAAATGGCACCCAGGGCCGGAGCCAGGCCTCTCCAGAGCCGAAGGGGAAGGCGGCCTTGACCTCATGGGCAGGGTTCCAGACCAGGGCAGAGGTGGAGCAGGTGGAGCTGCCTGATGGGAAGAAGAGAAGGAAGGTCCTGGTGCTGCCCTCACACCGTGGCCCCAAGATCAGGTGAGCTGTTGTAGGGCAGCTTAGTGCAGTGGGGGCTTCTGAGCGGGCGCTTAGCTTAGTTCCTCTCCTCAGCGTGGCGTTCCTTCAGTGCCGTTCCCACACGAAGGGTTAATGCGTAGCTGTCTGTACCCCAGCAGAGCTTGCACGTTCCAATGGAGGAGGGGCAGGAGAGGCAAGGGGCCTCTGAGGAGCCTGCCAGGGCCGCTTTCAGCCACCTTCTCTTAGGGGAGCTGCTTCTTGTCAGATGGCCTCTGTCAGCTGAGTCCCTCCCACTCGAGGTTTCCCCGCAGTTTCTGTTTGGGACAGCAGACTCGGACTGTGTCTAAAAGTAGAATATTTGTTAAATAAATGAGATTCCCTGGAGGTTTCAAGCTGGAAAACAAGGGTCCAAAGGTTGAGCCCTATGATGGCCTGTTACAGAGTCTCTCTTTAGTACTTAGCTTCTCACAGACTTAGAGCCAGTGTGATGGAAGGATTTTACCTTTTGGGTTGAGAGAACCTCAGGGTTAGTGCTTACTGACTACTTTGTTTCAGGTTGCGGGACAGAGGCAAAGTGAAGCCGCTCCCTCCCAGTAAGCCAAAGTCCCAGATAAAGCAGAGGAAGCAAGAGAAACAAAAGTTACCTTCCACACAGGTGAGTTCTGTAGGACCCATGCTTTGGGTCTAACAAGGCTCCGCTGGGGCTGGCTGTCGCCTCTGTGCCTTGGTTAGTTGAGCACCAAGAAAGCCCTGGGTTGCAGCTGCGTACAGCGCTGCAGTGTTTCACAGGATGCCATGGTCACAGTCGTAAGGTAAGAGAAACTGGCATAATGAACCCACACATACCTACCACTGTGCTTCAGCAGTTACCTTGTTTTACCTACATCTCATACGTGCTTCCTCCCACTTCACATGTAAGTGCCACAGGATGCCAGTCTAACTGATCAGGCCTCGAAGATAACCACTGTGCCACCGTCGTATTTACAGAAATTGGTAATTTGAGTCGCTTACTATCATCATCTGATGCACAGTCCATATTGAATTTTCCCCGGGACCTCAAACTTTTTTTAAAGTTCGTTAGTATAAGTCAGGATTCAGACAAAGACCACATATTACATGTGATTGTTGTTGCTCTCTTCTTTTTTCACTTTTATTGTGGTTACAACATACACAACAAAGCATTCGCCAACATGACGGCTTCCCCATTCATAGCTCCGGGACATTGATGACAGTTTTCATGTTGTGCCACCATTATTGCTATTCTTTTCCAAAATGATTGTCCTCTCTCTTAAACCATGTTGTATTCTGTACTATTTTCCTTCCTCCCCACTCCCCCCATATTTCCCTTCTTTAATTTGTTAGAGAAGCCAAGTTGCTTACCGTTTAGAATATTGCATTTTCTTTTTTTTTTTTTTTAAAGATTAATCATAATTTTTTGAAAATTGCTGTTAGTAATAAGAAGGAACTCTGGTAGCACAGTGGTTAAGTGATGGGCTGCTAAAGAAAAGGTTGGCAGTTCAAACCCATCAGCTGCTCAATGGGAGAAATGTGTGGCAGTCTGCTTTTGTAAAGACTTACAGCCTTGGAAACCCTGTGAGGCAGTTATAATCTGTCCTACAGAGTCACTATGTGTCAGGATCAACTTAATAGCAGTGTTGTTGGTTGCTGTTGAGTTGGCTCCGACTCACAGTGACTCTGTGTACAACAGAATGAAACATTGCCTGGTCCTGTGCCGTCCTCGTAATCCTTGGAATCCTTGAGTCCATCATTGCAGCCACTGTGTCAGTCCATCTTATTGAGAGTCTTGCCCTTCTTCGCTGACCCTCCACCTTACCAAGCGTGATATCCTTCTCCAGGGAATGGTTCTTGTGACAACATGATAGGGCATTACGTTTTCCGTTGGCTGCTTGCTTCCTCATGGGTGATGTAACTTGTTCCCGTAACACCCCACACCACCTGCATCTCATCACACTGCTTGGTTAGACTCAAGTTCAGCTTTCTCAGCAAAAATATCTCACAGGTGGTGCTGGGGCTTTCTATTGCATCACGGCCCGAGGCCCTCGATGCCTCGTCACCCGGGGTCTAGCAGTGCTGAGCTGACCAGGAGGCCAGGGCTTCTTCCCCTTATCCCTCCATTTGTAACGTCCCATCAGCTTTTTACCTGATGGTCTTGCCCACCATTATGACTGTTACCTAGATCCCTTATTGCATTATAGGTTGCAGAATAATGGTTTGTCATTCCTTTTGCATTTTTTAGTAGAATTCTAGGAAGAATTTTCCCTTGTCAGATGTTTGGTTACCATGAAATAGCTTTTTTATAGGAAAGGCAAGATGCATGCTTGATCCTTTTCCCTCATTGGTTTTCAGATCTTTGGCTGCCAAGAGCCCTTCAGGCTGGCCTCTGAGTCTTCTGACTGGACCGTATTTGTCTTTGAAAGTGTCCTTGCTTTCTGGTCCCACAGGATGTACTGAAGTGGCTCATCTTAAAATATTTATCCCCAGCCCTGGGATCAACCATGTTTCTGAGGAGCCCTGGTTCTTTTCAGTAGAAAGTGGTGGTCCTGCCTTCTTTACCCTTTGAGATCAAGCTTGCTTTTCCCTTCCTTAGGGCCTGTCTTTGAAAGGTCAAAGAAGCATTAGCCTCCCATCCTGTTCACAGAGTCTGTGTCTCTGGAAAGTTTCCGACCTCCACCGTGCTGTGTCCATGGCGCTCTCTGGAACCCCGTAGTGGTGTGCTTGGTGAGGGAATGGGCAACCGAGAGTGTCCAGACTCTGGCTGACCAGGCTGCTGCTGAGGCTGCCGTGAGCATCTGGCAGGTGCGGGGGAGGCCTCTGGACACCCTGCCAGTGTCCCCCTGGGGCTCCTCTTCCCGTGCGTTCCGGTCCAGCTTCTCGCCAGTGGATAATTCCTCTTGAGTTTTTCTCTTTTTTTCCCACTTTAAATATGTGCAGTTTATTGTACTTCAATTATACCTCAAAAAATCTGTTAAAAAGGAGCGGACGCATTCTGGTAGTCAAGGGGTTGTTTGCTTCATGGCTTTTAGTTCAAAAAATGACACTCCCTTAACTGGAACTGCAGCTGCAAACAGGTATAGCCTTCCTTACGTTTCATTTGAAGAATTTCTTTCTTTTCACTCATTGGGTAGTTAGTTCCATCCTTTATTTATTTATGTTGTGATTTGAGTGAAAGTTTACAGAGCAAATTCATTTTCCATAGAGCAGTTCATGCACATTTTGTTTTATGACAGTGTAACAGCTCTCTTCCCACTTCCTCCCTGTCTCCTTCTTTCCTGTGCATTCCTGCCCTCTGAGCTATCTCCCTGTGCACATACTGCCCTTCTGTTCTCCCATGATGTTGGCATAACATATTACACAGAATACCGTTGATCGTTCTAAGGAGTGTATCTACCTGATGTAAATGTTCACCCTATATGCCTGTTGTTTGGCTGGAGGTCACGGGAGTGAGTTCAATTCCAGACCTGAAGGGTAACTAGGGGTCATAGTTTTGGGGGTCTCACCAGGCTCTATCAGACTAGTATATCTGGTCTTTTTTTATGATTTTGAGTTTTGTTCCACATTGTTCTCGCACTCTGTCCGGGAACTCCTGCACTGATCCCTGTCTGAGTGGTTGACCGTGGTAGCTGGGCACCATCTAGGTTTCCTGGTCTCGTGATCATGTAGGCTGAGGTTCACATGGTCCACTAGTCCCTTGGACTAATTGTGTCCATGCATCTTCTGTTGTCTTCATTTTTCTTGGCTCTGCGTGAGAAGAGACCCATTGTTGAGTGTAGACAGCCGCTTGCAAGCTTTTAAGACCCAGTTGCTACTCACCAAAGTAGGATGTAGAACAGTGTTTTAGTGTAGTATGTTATGCCAGTTGAGCTTGATGTCCTCTGTGACCATGGTCCCAAGCCCACTGGTCCAGCAGTTCCATCGGGGTGGTTGACTGTACCTAAGAAGTTATCATAACTTTGTCCCCTGTTGGTTCTATTTATATGGAGATTCTTACAGAACATACATACACGTATGTAGAAATATTGGCTGCCAGCCTTAGATGTGGTCATGGTATATTCTGTTTTGCCTAGATAAACCTGATCATTCAGCCTATCTACCCATCTATTTACCCATAGGTTAATGTTTGTTGTCACTGATAATACGGTATTGTATGTGTAAAAGAGTTTCTCTTTGTTGTCTGTACCTCTTATGCACCTCTTTGTGTCTTCCTTTTCCTTAGTGTTATTGTTTTGGTCACTCACTTTTGGTATATTGCCTTTCCCTTCACCCAATTCAATACTTGTCTCTACCTGTCTAGCACTGTTCGCTCCTAGCCCTCCCTGGTAATACACAAAGAAAGTTTCTGTCCATTGTAAACCTTTGACTTTTTACAGTAATGAACTAATAAAATATTTGTCCTTCTGTGATTGACTTACTTCGCTCATCATAATGTCCTCCAAGTTTATCCATGCTATGTGGTGTTTCGTACATTCTGCATTATTCTTTAATGTTGCATAGTATTCCATTGTGTGTATGTACAGTAGTTTGGTTATCCATTCTCCTCTTGATGGGCACTTAGGTTGTTTCCATCTTTTTGCTATTGTGAATAGCATTGCCAGCATTTTTGAGTTTTTCTTTTAAGAATCATTTCTGGAAGTCTACCTCTTCCCAGTGGAAAGGTCTCTGTATCTCCTTATAGGTAAGGTGGTATTTAGAGCTTGGGATTGATTGCCTTCTGTTTCATTTGTAGGTGCCTAAGAAAAAAGCTAAGGGGAATAAGACAGAAATCCACTTCAACCAGCTGGTCGAACAGTATAAGCAGAAACTGTTGGGACCTTCCAGAGGGGCTCCTCTTGCAAAGAGGAGCAAATGGTTTGATAGTTGATGACGCCAGCGGATGGGATCGTGTGCTTCCTGGTCAAGCCTCCAGCCGGTTCCCCTCCTTGTCTCTGACTGCGGGGAAGAAGTCCCTCAGTGCACGGCCACTTTGTACATCCCTGAACTGCCACCCTCCCTCTAGCGTGTGGTTGGTTAATCACAGAGATGCCAGAGGAAGCCAGGGTCCTTCTTGTGTAGATCCAGTTGATGGTGTGGAGGTGTGTGTATCAGCCCATTTTATCCTTTTACTCTCATGTGGAAACAATTGTGAAAACACATTCTTGAGGCAGAATTTTTAAGTTGTGTATTTTGATAAGCACCTTCTCTAAGGGAAATACTTTATGGCTTTTTGAATAACAGATGTGTCTCATCTCTGATATATGTGAACCTTTGTTATTTACAAATGTTTTTGACATTCCTAATTCTGATCAGGTTACATAGTCTCATATACTGCAGGAGCTGACTGAGTAAGAACCAAGAGCAATGATTTCCAGCCTCATCTGCGGGAGTGGGAGGCATGGAAATAATGGCGGTCACTGGAGCCTGGCCGAGAGGAGCGCCTGATGATCTCGGAGGACGTGGGTGGAGGCTGCAGCAGACCCAGCAGGGAGCCCGGTGCCTGGCCTCCAGCCTGACCGGCCGTGGCCTTGGTGTCCTCCAGAGCTTCAAACCAGTCATTCTTGTTCAGCTCACTGCTGAGAATGTGCATCTCCCCAGATGCACTGAATCCGAATCGGCGTTCTAACAAGCCGGTTATATATGGGGTTCTGTAGGACTCGCCTGAGAACCTGGTTAAAATTCTAGCCTGGAGGAGTGGGCTGAGTCTGACAAGATGAAAACTACTGGGGACCAGTATAAATTCCTGCACCTGGATTTAAAACCCTGCTCCACAGTGTGTGTGTTAACCGATTTCACACTATGAAGCAACAGGCTGGCCGCCACCAGTGTAACAGCCCTGTTAGGCTGTAAGTGTGCAACCTGCTCTGACTTGGAGCTGGCAGACATCACCTGTAAGATAAATGAGGTGACCAGGTGGGTAAAGGAAACCGGAACCATGTCAGCAGACACAGAGCTGGTCGTGAATTGCTCATTGTTGAAGCTAGTCTTTGTCACGTTATACTCTTCTTTTGTGAATAGATGGAGTGTTCCATAATAAAATGAGAAAGAGGAGTCAGATGAATAACTACAGTTACTTGGCGCTGACTTGCCTGAGAAGGGACTTCTTGGGCTGTAACAGCTATTGGTAGAACCCAGAAGGGTATGTAGAGGCAGGTGATAAAGCACATGGAGTCAGGTTTGGCTCAGTGAAAGAAAGGACTTGTGAGTGTGACTGCCAGGCAGGCACGAGTCCCACTTTGGGGTCGTCCAAGCATGGGTGTGGTGAGTCCATGGTGTTACCCAGGGGTTTCTGTGCCAGGGGTTGGGCTGGAGGAGGTTTGCCAGCTCATCAATACTTGGGCCCCAAGGTATCTTGAAGTTGTGCCTCATATCCCACCCCAGTCCCTGGGCCCTTTCCTGGAGAATATCTGACTGTGCAGTGACCTTCATGAGGTCAGGCCCTTGGTTGAGATGGCTTAGATCTCAAAACCCTGCAGTGGGTTCTCCCACTTTGATTACAGTCTTAGCTCCTTGCCCATAACATGCAGTGTCCTAGTATCCCCAGCCCTCGCCCCTTCTCCTACCTTAGCCGCACCCACTCTGCCCTTCATTTTGGACACATAGAGCTTCCTTCAGTTCTGATACTCGACCACCTCAGAGCCTTTCAGTCTGTTCCCTCTGCCCAGAGAGCTTTTCCCTCGGACCTACTCGCCGTGAGCTCCTCGGTGAGCTGCCATGAGCTCTTGCAGCTCTTCCCGCGGTCTGGAGGGGGCATCTCTTCCTCCCCTGGCTGCCCCATCACAGCCTGTTACCCTGCTCCTTTTCCTTGTGGCACCACTGTCTACCCACAATGATTTGTCTCCCCCAGTTAGAATTAAGCTGTGAGAAGGACCTCATCTCTCTCATTGCATCCATAGACCTAGTACCTCGAGCCCCAAAGTAAATATTTGTTGATTGAAAAAAATAAGATAGAAATGAGAGAAGCAGTGAATGCTTAAAAATGCCCTCAGCACAGCCACCACCCATCTCTCAGTGGAGGCCTACATATTGCTATAATGCTGAAGAGTTTTCAGCAGAGCTTCCGGACAAAGACGGACTAGAAAGAATAGCCTTGTGATCTACTTTTGAAAATTAGCCAGTAAAAACCCTATGGATAACAATAGTTTGATTCACAGTTGATTACGAGGATGGTAGTGTTTAATTCCATTGTGCATGGGGTTGTCAAGAGTGAAGAGTCAACTCACTGTAGCCAGCAACAATTATTTCGTTTTAACCACTGAAAATTTATCATCAGAACTGAAATGTGCTATAAAGAGTAAAATACACACTAGATTTTAAAGACTTGGTACTTAGATAAAGGGAAAGTAGTTTCTCATTAATAATTTGTTTATATTGATTATATGTTGAAATGAAAATGTTTTGGATTGTTTTTGTTGTTGTTAACATTAAGTCAGCTCCAATTCATAGCGACATTATGTACAACAGAAAATAAAAACTGCCCAGTCCTTAAAAAAAAAAAAAAAAAATGCCCTTGGTCAGTTTTGAAATGAAGGAACAACCATGAGAACATTTGAACCTTTTGGAGAGAACTGAGGGCAGGGAGGGAGTGTGACTTGGGGGAGTTTCAGACATTCTTGCGGTAGCCAGCAACATATCTGCCCTGCACGGCCTGTACAGGGTGAGGGAGGACTTGAGAGACTCCATTAAGGGTGACAGAATGTCCACAGCCTGCCTGTCACTTGATCTCTTTTTCCCTTGGCCAGCTCTGCTCACCAGACATGTCTTTTCCTAGTCTGGACGTTTGATTGAACACTCAAACAATCAACATTCAGGATAGATAATAGTTGCTGTTCACTCTGATCGCTTTGCCACAGTCTCGTAGATGTTTTATTTCTTCTGACAGCTCTAGCAGCCCGGGTGTTGGGACAGGGTTCTGTGGCTTGCACAGTCACTGCCCCTTCTTTAAAAGAGTGCTGTGAGGGTGAATTGTCCTCTTTCTCAACAACCAGATTACAGATGTGGTGTCTTCTGTTGGGACAGCTATGGCAGGTGCTGTATTGTAACGAGGGTCGTGCTTACTTCAGAGCCTCTTGTTCCATGAAATGAGGTTTTCTGGATTAACATGAATTTTGAGATACACTCTGCTGGGTTAAAAAAAGAAAAAAGGACTGTTAACATCCAAGACAGAAGGCCATCAGTCCAAACTCTCCAGTGGCATTTTCCCACAGGTTGCATGGTAGCCTAGCTTGGAGCTCATTCCTTTAAAGAAAGAATACTGAGATTGTGTACTGGCTGTCTTCTGTGTGCTTTTCTTGGCTGCCTGCTGCCTGTGAAGCGCCTGCTTGGATCCAAGATGTGCAGTCCCATCTTGAGTCAGCAGCAGGGTTTATGCTGCAACTGCCCTGAACTTAGCACCATGGCCTCCTTTGTTGCAAAGGTAGGGCCTGGGAATTCATCCTTCTAAATACTTCCAGGGGTCCTGTGGTTATGTTTTTGTTGGGAAAAGAGGCTTCGCAACTGAAAATCCAGAGCCCAGGACCTCAAGGCTCCAGAGAGCCCCTTCTCATCGTGTATTCAGCCTTCCGTGGCTGAGAGGCAGGAGGCCGAACATGCTGCTGTGAGTGCCGGGCGTGCGGGACCTGCGGTCTTCAGCTTTCCAGCTGACCGAGTAGTCAGTGCTGGGAGTGACTGACAGGCGTGGCCAGCTCTGCCCATGCAACTTGGACGGTTCCTGAAAGAGGCTGCAGACTGCTCTCTCTTTGAAGGCCACACCTTCAGATGTGACGGTGCCCAGGGTGAGTTTGTAGTTCACCTTGTCTCCAGCGGTTCTCAACGCCTGCTTCGTCTCACTCAGCTTTACCTGGCTCTTTCAGGGCCGGGAGGAGGTGGTATCTCTCTTAGGCAAAATAAATATTTCCAAACCTTCCTTTGCTCCAGGTTGACCAAGTCAGAAGACATCCCTGGGTGTTGCTTTTTTATGGTGCTTTTGTTTTTGCCCTGGCACTTCTTCCTCTCCAGTGGTATTTGCAGAGTCAGAGCCCTCATTCCTTGGAGCATTAGTGACCAGACATGGAGTGAGTTCCAAGTATAGTTTGCAATTCCTTTGGCTGCTGATTCCAGACTGGGCAGCAAGATAGCCACCAGTTCCAGGACTACCTGAAGTTGGCCTGCCCTCACCATAACGCTACCTAGCAGCCCACCTCCTCAAAAACCCAACCCACAACCCAGCAGGTAGGACAAACCCCAGTGACTTCGTGATGGCGAGTTGTTTGGCAAAGGACTGGCCCAGGGCAGGCGGTGGGTTCCAGAGGGCTGGCACTCCCCTTGGAGCAAGCATGGTGTGGGCACTGAGCACATGGCTGCTCACCTGTGGTGTGCTGGAGCAAGTGATGGTAGCTCACGAGAGCCAATTGCTATGTCTTTAGGAACTGTGCAAGCGGTTGTTAAACACAGCCATAATATATAATTAAACTATAGAAACGTATAATCAAATCAGTTACATTAAAAACAAAGGTAATAAGTACTCATTGCTTCCTAAAAATAACTCTGATTTACTGTTGTCAATGCCTTGAGGTTACGTCTGTTGTGTCTCCATGATGAAACACTGTACAGTGGCGTGCGCTATACATCTCTCCTCAAGTCACTTTGATAGGTTGAAAGCAGCCACCAAACCAAAAACCAAATGCACTGCCGTCGAGTCGGATCCAACTCATAGCAACCCCTCTTGGGTTTCTGAGGCAGTATCACTACAAAAATAGATTGCCCAGCCTTCACTCTGAGGAGTGACTGGTGGGTTTGAACCACCAGCCTTCTGGTTGGCAGTCAAATGCCTTAGGCACTATGCCACCGCAGAAATTGGTAAACAATACAAATTGGGACTTACTTATTTTGTTAATTGTCCAGACTCAG